CCTCACGATTTTATCTTGTTTGTGTACCTTCCCAGTAATACACCCATCCCAAAATTACTTTGGGATGAGCACGCTTATCTACAGAGTTTCTTAATGAAATTTCAACAATTACACCAAAATACGTTTCGATATTTAAGAGTTTAACTTCTTTTACTTAAGGAGTCACAATCTCCCTCGCTTAAGTGACTAATGTCCTCGTCAGTATCCCTATTCCAGGATCATCTACTAAACAAATAGGACGCTAGAGGTGGCCCCTACAAGTTATGAATGTTAAAACAATTAATTACAAATGATAATTAATTTAAAAATTTTCAAATCAAGTCGTAAAACATCAATAAATATTTCCGTTATAAAATAATAATCCTCATTGATTAGACATGAGTAATAAATATTTCCTTAGCTAAACATGAGCCATTGATTGTGGTAATCAATGTGGGGTTAAAATTTTTGTTGGAAAAAAATATAAAATATAACACACATTAGATCTTTACCTGTGACCACATATTCCTGAGGTTGCACCATGTACAACTTTTCTTTAAGGCCAACATGAAAAAAAATGACGTTTTTGCATCCATCTACTCTAGATGTAAATTCTTCATTGCTACTATGTTCAGTACAACTCTGATAATTGTCATCTTCATTACTGGCCGAGAGAAAGTTTCAATGTAATACACTCATTCATTTTGCTGAATTTGGCCATATAGCACTCGCTGCCATCAAATTCTTCTTTCAGCCTATAAAACCACTTATTTTATAGCAAGTAACATTTTTTTTTTTTAAGATTTACATACATACCATCTAATACTATTCTATTTACATATTTAACACCTAAAACTTTAATATTACATACATATCACCCATAGTTTATTTTCATATCAAATATGAGTGGTAGAAATGAAATATATGAATGGTAGGAAAGAAATATAAGAAGTATATTTGATATTAAAATAATATAAGGTGGTATGTATGTAATATTAAACTTTTGGGTGTTAGATATATAAATAAGATATTATAAAGTGGTATGTATGTAAATTTCCCTTTTTTGTTTAAAACAAAGCGCCACAATTGCTATAAGATTTTTGAGTTATAAGCATCCATTTGTTAAGAAGCGTGACTAAATTTAAAAAATTAAATACATCTTCGAAAAAAAATGATAAGAAAAATGCTTTGCTGCCAAACTCATAATAATAAAATAAATATAACTTTGACAAGTTCGTATTAAATAAATACAAAGAAAACTTAATAAGATATATACTGTAAATGTCTATTGCACCTATTTAATTTTTTATAAAATAAATAAATAAATATTATCTTTTTTATATAATGTTAAATGAATTCATGGCATCTGTATCATCTCCATTAATTTGAAGAAGCAACTTGGACGAGAAAATAAAGGGCGACCATTCAAATTTTTAGGCTTACATTTGGTGCTACTTCTGTACCCATACGCTGATGCCTCCACATCAATAAATATTTCATGCAATTATAAGCTAATTTATTACAATTTTTTTTTTTTGAATAGGATATCTACCCGCTGCCGCTCCAAAAGAAGCGCTTGACGGCACAACTAATCCGTCGGCGGAACCTAGCGAGGCCACCCACCAGCATCGGGTCCACACTTGCTTTGCCCCACTGAAGAGACGAGGTCATTGTAGAGCGGATTCGAACCCCAACTGTACTCGCCCACCAACCCTTCTGAGGTACATATAAACATAGTATAAGGAAAGCACAGTTGGCCTTAGATCGAACTACAGATTTGGGAATTTGGAAGAAACTTTAATGAGGGGAGGAAGGCTCTGTTAGTCTTTTGCAGGTATGGAGGTTTATGGATTTTGAAGACTCTCTACGTATGGGCGTATTTATTAATGCTAAGTCTGCATGGACTGTTCGAGAAGCCATAAATACCTTTTTTTAATAAATAATATTTATTTTCTTAGAAAAATAAAATTACAGTATGGAACAGCAATATGTGAAGGTCATTGGCTCATTGCATGTTATAAAAATTTTTTGTTTAATAATTTTTTTATTAAAATCTATTTTAAAAAACAGTAAAAAACTGTTCCAAACAAAAATTAAACTGATTTATTTATTTTTTGTGACGAGGAAGCACTGTTCTTAGGCCAGTGTAAACCCCGGTCGACCTAGAATGCAACCCACATCAATTTACACGGGCCAACACTTAAGACTTTCACTGCTTGCCAAGAAAAACTGATTTATTTTTCTTCAATTGACAAACTTTTGATGAAAAGCTTTCTGTAGTAACAGCTTTTGAGCAATTTTTTTTTTTATTTTTTTATTTTGAGCAAATATAAAGTAATAGTTTCCATCATTCCATGAGAAATTAGTCTATTTTCAACGGCAATAGGAGTGCTGTGAGAAACATATATTCCATCAGCGCTACGCTTCTTCCTATGCAGTTCTGCTCCGCTTACTCATTCTGTTTTAGTCCACTATCACTCTTTTTCATTATTAGCTATTTTACAGTTATTTGCATTAAGATAGCTAGACTCATCTACACTAATATTAGGAACTCTTAAGTATACTAGTATATAAGGAATGGGGAGGAAAAGAGATACATAGAAAAATATATTTCACAGTTTTATTGTCCGTGTTACTGTGTTCTCGGTCACTCTTGTGTCTGCAGGGATTTTCAGCTTGAACATAACATCAAATTGATATCAGAGCCAGTGCGCTAGCACCGATGGCTTAAACTAGCCAATGGGCAGCTTCCAATGATGATCGAAGCTTAGTGGGTAGTGCAAAAAACCATCTCCAAACAAATATCGAAACTTTCTTTCGATTTTAAGCATTTCACAGTAGACATAAGGAGAGAACTCCAAGGGGAGCAGTTTTGTCCATTTCAACCATCAGATTCGGAGGATGGTTAGTGGAATTATTGGATTGATACCAGGAGGTGGAGGGATAGAAATCTGAGACATTAGAATGAGCTCCGCGTCAAATTGGATATCCCATTTTTTGAAGGTCGATTGCACATTGAAGGCTATTTGGATTGAAAAAGAGCGACCGAGACGGTCTTCGAGCATATGGAAATCAGACTCGAAAAACAAGTTAAGTATGTAATTTGTCGGTTGAAGGGAGATGCCAGTGTGTGGTGGATACATGTTCGACAAAATTGGTGACGAGAATGCAAGATAGTTGTTAGGAGTTTGCGCCAACTCTGAATGAAACAATTAACAAGAGGACATTTCCTTCCGACTAACTATGAACATCAGTTATATGTCGGATATCAGCATTGCGCCCAAGGGAACCGGACAAAAAGTGAATACACTGAGAAGTTTTACAGATTAAGTGCTCGCAATAACCTTAATGAATCAGACACTCAGCTAGTTGCTCGCTATATCGGGGAGTGAATCAGACACAGCTATTAATATCTTTGAAATGTTTAATCTTTCCTTAAAATGAACTCAATTATGTCTACTCTATTACCGTAGCCATCATTGCATTGGATATTGTCAATTGTGCATGGAATCAAGCGTGCATATTATGATTTTAGTGGTTGCAGAATACTTTGAAACATGCCTTACTAATTAATTTTGTATGACGATATATTTCAATTTTCAATTACTCAATTAGTCTGTTAATAATGACAACGTATTATAATTTGGATGTGGAGGCAAATGAATAAAGAAAATCATCTCATTGCATGAAATTTTATGAATTAAATATTATGAATGATGCCTCACGAAAAAAATTAGCTTGATGAAGCACAAATCTAATTGTAAAATTGAAGGGAGTAATTTTCAAAATTCAACTACAGATTATTCAAATTCTGGTTTGAGCAAACTTACGGTCAAAGTGATCATGAGACAAACCCAATAATATTAAAAAGTGATATAGTCTGAATCTCAATGAATAAATATCAAACACTTGAAGTATAGTTTGAAATTTTAAGATATTAATTAGAGGATTCAATAATCTACAAATTTTATATGCTCAGTCAAATCGAGTGTCAGTCAAATCGAGTGTCTCATGATCATTTAATTCTAACATCAGTAAGGCACCTAAATGTAAAAAGAATGGTCCATGATCTAGGAAATCAATAATAACAGTCCGATTGAGTTTTTTAGATTTTCTCTATATCTACGTGGCTTTCAACTCTTAAAAATTCATAAATAAGTGTCATTTTCTACATGAAGCGAAAATTGACTTTAGATTCAAATGAAGAGTTTATAAGCTTTAAGAATCCAATAACCCCTCCCGAGCATCACCATCAGACCATCGCAATCCTCCACAATCGTTTGCAATAATCATCAAATTTTCGTCATCCAACCACTATGATTAGACCATCACTATCATTGAGTCAACACAATCAAATTCTCACAGCTCAAACCACCATCTCCAAATTATCATGCCTAACCATCATCTTCGAACCATTGATGCTCAACCACCATTATCAAACCGCCAGCAGCCAACCACCATTGTTAGATAGCTACCACCTAAACACTATTGTTGGACGTCCTTCATCTCACCACTTTTGTCATCTAACTGCTACCGTCATATTGTTGTTTCACAACCACTATAGTCAGACTATCACTGCTCTAACACCAATGTCGATCAGCATTGTTTTTGGACCAGTGCCCCCAACCATCATAATTAAATCTTTTTTTATCAAACCAACATTGCTAAATCATCATCAATTGACCACAATAATCCAAACATCTCTCATCCCATATGGACTTTAAGATATTTCTGCCAACCACGCATAGTCATATAATCTTGCCCTCTTCAAATTTGGAAAATAATAATTTTAATCATTTATGTTATTTATCAATATTCTAAATAAATTTGATTATGATTATGATTATGATTCTTAAAATTTAATAGTATTGATTGTGCATTGATTTCAAATGGAATCGGACACAATCCTTTCAGGCCAAGAGGTCCGGTTGCAGCTTCAATTACAGTTAACGGTAACCAACCATTCTCTGCACCAAAGCAAGACCACGTGTTCTTCAATAATGCCCACCCACGCCCTATCCACTGCCTCCCCTCAGCCCAGCCTTAACTAATCCTCATGCAATCCAGGCACACAGCACCAAGCTTTAACCATGAACAACCTCTGGTCATGGATCGCCGAACTTCCATCCTCTCCCCTCCCCCTTGCCTCCTCCTCCGGCCGCTCCATCCTCCTCTCCGCCGATCCCAACACCGCCACCGACCTCCTCACTTTCTCCATCTCCTTCAACGGCTTCCAAGCTTCCAATCCCACTAAAACTCTCTGGGTTTCCGACGCAATTCCCCTCTCCTCCCCCACCACCCATCTTCTCCTCCTCCTCCAACTCGTCCACGAAATTATCATCCCTCACCTCCCCAAACCCGACCCAGCCCGATTTCTCCTCGCGCTCGGCCCAATCCCCGACACCCCTAACCTCCTATCCCTCGCGCTTCTATGCCGCCTCTTCTGGCTATGCGCAGGCGAGTCCTCTGCTGACGCCGGCTTTCTTTTCTTCCGCTCGTTCGACGCCGCGCTCGAGTACGCGCTCGACTGCCGGCGCTCGCTGAGCGCTTTCCTTTTCGCCGCCGGCGCTGACAGGGAGGAGCGATTTATGCGGTCGGTGGGGTATGTGCTTGCCAAGTGGTGTATTCTCCGCCAGTTTCCGGCCAGTACGGATGTGCGCCGCCTACCTGTCGGCTGCTTCCCGGCATATGCGGCGGAGGTTGTGCTTAATTAATTAATTTATTTATTTGTTTTCCATTGTTGAAGTAAATTCTTGCGACAGGTGCACGGGCTCTGGATCATGAAGGGTTACTGTCCAGTTCCGGCGATGGCCCGCTCGTCCGGTGACGGGCCCAGTGCCACTCTCGGGTCCCCGAAGATCAACATTAAGGAAGCCACAACCCGCTACGCCCTCGCCCACCAGCAGCTGGAGCTCGTGGTCCAGCTGGAATACTCCATATGCGGGCGGGACCCACGGTTTCTCAAAATCACCCTACGTGTCGACAATATACGCCTCCACATGGCAAGGCTGGCTTACGGAAAGCGCGACGACTACGGCCCTACGACCGTTGAGGGGCACTTTCCGTCAAGGGTGAGAATTCGGGTTGGGCCGGAGGCGGGTTCTGTGTACGCTGTCGGGCCCAGTTTGGGGCGGTCGAGTGGGAACCCGGAGTATGTGGTGGACTCGACCCGGACGGTGAAGGGCGGGCTGGGTGTGGGGGTGAGGGCTAAGGCGCGGTGGTCGGCGAGGGTGCGGCGGCGGAGCTGGTGCTGGGAGCAGGAGGCGGAAGGCGTTGCGGCTGTTTTTGAAGGCGTGCTTTGTGATGGGGAGACGGGAACAGAGGTGGCCGTATCGGATATGAGGGCGGGGATGAGGAGGAGGCATGGTTGGTCAGAGAGGGCGTTTAGTAAAGCGGGAGGGGTGGTGTTGTCCGGCGATGAGTTGCCGGAGGTGGTGAGTTGGAGGGTGGGGAGGGAGATGGAGGGGGAGAAGGTGAGGTGGAGATTGGGGGTGAGGGTGTGGGCGAGCCATCTGCCTAATGAAGTGAGGAATGGGTATTTTGAGACGAGGTGGGTGGAGTGGGAGGAGGAGGTGGAGTTGACTGTGGTGGCCGGAGTCGGTTGTTGTTAGATGAGCTCCGATCATGATTAAAAGATGATTTATAATAAAATTATAACAGTAAAATATTAAAAATACGAGAGAGAGAGAGAGAGAGAGGCAGCCAAAATATCAAAATTGACACAAAACAAACTTATTCCAATAATGAGTCAAGTGAATGTTGTTTAAAGATAAGAAATGGTATGAAATTATTTACCATAATTTAGAATTGATAATAAATGAAAAATAATATTTATTTTAATTTTTCTTTAGTCATTACAAGATTATTCATAATTATGAAAAATTAATAGGATGTATAAAAATAGAACTTCATATAAGAATACTATACTTGGCTAAATTATATATAACTTTTACTTAAATATTGGGAGTTGCTTGGATGGATGGCCGATATTGAATCCCTTGATCATCTACCGTTTCATGGACATTTGTATGTCTTAGTGATGTCGAAATTCAAGGATTTTGGGCTCGTTGGATTTGTCTTGTCGAGCCGCTTGATTCGACTATAAGCACGTCATGTTTGGAAACTAGTTGGTAATCCAAATTGTGGTTTGAACCCTCTAATAACGCTTTATAACCTTGATTTTGATCGATTTGGTCTCGGATTGAGTCGAATTTGGTATCGTTGGGTTCGTATTTCTGAGACACTCAGTTTGACTATAAATTTGCTGAAATCAAAGTGCAAATGGTTTCAATTTTAATTTAGAAAGTTTCTAACTTGATTTTTCCATGAGATTCTTGCCCGATCAAGATAATTTTTTGAGGATGTATCAGGTATGAAATCATTTACCATAATTTAGAATTGATAATAACTGTAAAAGTAATATTTATTTTAATTTTTCTTTTGTCAATACAAGATTGTTTATAATTATGAAAAATTAATTGGATGTATAAAGATAGAACTTCTTCATATAAGAATACTACACTTGGCTAAATTATATATTATTTTTACTTATATATTTAAACTTAATCTTCATCCTGTTTTACTTGATTTAGGTGCAAGCTTGTACAATTCTCAATGCTGAAAGACCTAATGTTGGGTATTGAGAAGAGTAAACCACCACAACTAATAGTAAAAATAAATAAATAAAAATTATAACGAAACAAATAAAAAAATAGGAAAACATTGGAAATCAAAGAACATCAATATTTAACGTGGAAAAATTTGAAATTGAGAAAATATCACGGAACCGCACCACATCAAAAAAATTCACTATAAAAATAAGAAGAAATAAATACAAATCTCTCTACTCTCTTATTTTATCCTTGATCCTACAAATAAAGAGCCGCTTAGACCCAAACTAATGACCCACCTCTATATTATCACAACAACTCATAATTAACAGCTCTCATTAAGTACTCCGTTCAAGATCACTAATCATACAAAATTTCCCATTGCCATAACGTCATTAAGCAAACTGAGTTTAATTAAAATTACTATGGCCATCCCCCTTCACTCTCTTCCACCATGATTCAACTGAGCACTTTGAACCTCTCTGCATTACAGTGCGCTCATCCCATAGGCTTTCTTTACATGTCAAGTTTGACGCACAGGTCTCTGCAAACCACCATTTATCTCTCTTGATTTCCTTTAGTAGTTTCTGTAGCTCAAGTCATTTCTTTCAAAATCACGTCCTCACCTGTATCTTTCTGCAGCTAAGAGGACGATTCATCTGCCACAGTTTTACTTCAAAACACGGCAACTTGCATCATCTCCTGCCAGAATCTCTTCATAATTCATAGCATTTATATTTTTTTTTTCACACTTTTAGTTGTTCTTTATTGTTTCCAGAGCATGAGATCTAACCAGCAAGCAAAACACTAATCTATGATAAAAAATTTAAAATTGGCAATTCAGATCAGTCGAAATATTTAAAGAAAGATTATGTAAGACAGCAGCTAATAGACAAAATTTCACGCTTAGAACTTTAATTATGGCAATTCGACTGCTCCTCATTCTAAAAGAATAGGAAGTTCTTAGAAACAGAAAAAAAGGAAAAGAGGAGCGACACAGCTTTGCTTTGCTGCTGCACTTTTACACTCTTAACACGTCTCATGCTCCAAAAGCCCCGCTCGTGCTATCTCTTTGCACTTTAGCCCCCCAGCTGCGGCTTAAAGAAGACTCGCAAATTATGACGGGGAGTAAATAACAGTTCTCTTTTGAACGAATTTCATCGAATTCATTTCCCTACAAAATATCAATTTTGATTCTCTGTAAACTAGGATGGAGAGCCGTTGATTAGTATTGGGCGTCACAATGGCACATAATTTACACAGCATTGTATAAAAATATGAAACAGAATACAATCTTAGTTTCAGATAATAATCTCTTTTGAAAATCTCACACTAATAAGGTTGCTGTAAGCGTTACAACAATCTATAATTTCGTCGAGTAGAAACAGAGCACGAGGATTATCTATCTACAATTCTATCATTTGTAGAACAAAACCAGCCAAAAAAGAGTGAAAAGCGAAGACAGAAAATCTTTTAACGGTTATGAAGCGGGTCGGAGGCATTCGGAACCTTCCGAACGCTGCTACGAAACAGAGCACCGCCTGAGCTCTTTGTGCTCGTCAAACCGCCGCCGCCCCCGCTGGCTGCGGCGTCGAAAACGCCGGAGATGGACTCCACCATTTCGGTTATTTTCCTCCCTTGAACCGAGAAGAGAAAGCAGAGCACGAGCAGAAACAGTATCAGCATCACAGCTCTTTTACGCAGCCCCATGTCATAGAAGCTATGCTAAGGCCCTTCCTTTCCTAGCGGCCATAGACGTCAATGTGCTGAACAGCCGAAGCCATAAGGAAGGCTATGCTATTCTCAAATCTCTCAAAGGCGACGTTTTTCCTCTCGGGGTATCCTGGAAACAGAGAAAGGCGGCCCATTTATTGGATTTCAGGCTTTGGGGCATGGGCTTCTTGTCGCCATGACCGCGTTGGGCGGAAGGAAGAAGTCTATGCGAAGCAATGAGCTATTGTAGGCATATTGTCACTTGAGCATGATTGCTTGGCTTTGGGAAGTGGGTTAATAAAGATGAATCAGTGCTAATTAATGGTAATTACTCTGCTTCTTTTACTTTTTTTCCGCTCTCCTTAATTCCCTCATTAAAGGCTTTGAAGTTTGGAATGGCTATCTTGGTTGTATTGATTCACGCTTGTGCATAAGTGGATGCTTTTAAAAATATATTTATAATTATAAGAGGAATTTAATTTAAATTTGTGATAACTTAAAAACTAATTGGCATAAAGTACTTTGGATCTTTTTATCAGAGTTTGCAGATGTCTGTATGTATTTGTATTTTACTAGGAAGCACTTTGACCTATGGCTATTGACGAGTAGCCATCCCAGTCTTATGCACTCTTTGCAGCTCTCTCTCTCTTTCTCTCTCTTGCAGCTCTACTCTGCCTGCCTCTCTCTCTCTCTCTTCTCACACACTCTTTTGCAGCTCTACTCTGCCTGCTCCTCTCTCTATCTCTGCTGTCTCTGGTGTGTTTCTCTCCACTCTATGGATCTAGGAACTTTTCATATTTCAACTTATTAGACTAGCTGATTCTGTGTAAGGCGAAAGTCTAAAGCTTTTATATTGGTGATTCTATGTTCTTAAATTTCTTTCTGACGTTACATTCTTAAAAAAGAAAAAGGAAATTTGTTATTTTTAGATGTTTTTTTCTTTTATCTTTTTTTTTGGGGAATTTTTGGGGCTAGAAGCCCATCTCATTGCTAAAGAAGATTACAAGTAAGAAAAGTAATCAAAAACTATAATCCAAAATCTCAAACAACAAAAAGAGATTATGGATTCTAAAGAAATGAAAATACAGTTCAACAGATTAATGAAGCAAAAAGCAGCTGGGCAAAAACCCAAGGACTCAGAAAAATGCTCAAATACTCGATAGGGTCAAAAGCACGATTGAGTCTAGTAATGAGCAAAGCCCCTGGTTGCCCATAGGACCATCCAAGGGGCAGCTGAAACTGGTTCAGCAATCATCATCGTCCGAACAAAATTTCTTCAGCCTCCAGCTTCCAGCATAAAGAACAACACCTCCTGAACCAAGTGGAACCACCATCCAGGCAACAGAAGGAAAGATAGCTAAGAAAGGTCCGGAGCCACAGAATCATCCCAGAAACCATGCCATAAAATTTTACTTTTTCCATCTCAGATTTTTTAAAAGCACCGCTTTCTTGATTTTAGCTATAATAGTGTCTTTGCTGTCAATAATGCCACCAAATAATCTATCATTTCTTGCTCTCCAAATAAAGTAAATCGAGGCAGCAGCCGTGAGAAGGTAGAGGTTTTTAGTCTTAGCAATAAAACCTTGCTCCCAAATGCTATCATAAGCCTGGTGAAAGTTAGGCCTCATAAAAAGATTATGCGTCCAGGGGAAAAGAGCTCTAACAATGTCAAAACTGTAGCTGCATTCATAGAATAAGTGGGTAATAGACTCCCTATCATTATGACAAAAACAGCATGTATTTGGAACCAAAATACCCCGAGCAGCCAGAACATCCGCAGTTTTTAAGCCCCCATTAAACATCATCCAAGCATAGACCGAGAAACGAAGGGCATTGTGTTTGTGCCAAATGTACTTATGCCAAGGAACCACGTTCAGGTTTTCATAAAACTGAGAATTGAAATCGTTAAAAGATGGGTTTTGCTTGTTATTCCAGAGGTGGTTCTCATTATAAGAATCGATAGGAACCGAATGGATGATAGCAGCCATTTGGTTGCCCAAGCAATTAGGGAGGTTCCAATTATCAGCTAAAATAAGCTGGGAGACAGTACAGTCAAAGGGAGAGGTAAAACTGGAAGTGTTATTCATGCTCCTCAAATGGTCAGCCACCGAAATTCCCCTGCACCAAGGATCCCAGAAGAAAGATAGATTGCTGGAGGCATTTACAGAAAGAGCAAGACTGTTTTTGATCTCATTAGCTTTTGCACATAAATAATTCCAATAATGAGAGTTGCTTTTGGTTTGAGGCTTCCAAAGTGAATGATAATTAGCTCTCCATCAGGAAAAGAGAAGGGAATCAGCATTTAAGAATCTCCAAATGATAGAGCATGCATAGCTATGCTTAAGAGAATTGATAGAGGGAATGCCCAGACCCCCATGAATTTTGGGGCAGCAAGTTTTACTCCAGGAAATAGTAACAAGTTTCCTCTCTTGAATATTGCCAAAGAAAGTGAATCTAGAGCATAGCCTAGAAATATGCTTACAACAACCTTTAGGTATGATAGAGCCACGAATCCAATATGCCAAGGTGTTAGAAATAGTGAATTTAATGAACTGCACACGCCCAGCCAATGATAGTAATTTTGCTTTCCAGCCCTCTAACTGAGAAGTAATCCTTTGGATTAAAGGATTAAAGTCACAAAGTCTCAGTTTCCTATAGAAAATAGGTAAACCCAGATACTTAATGGGCAAAATAGATTGCTGAACATTAAGGATATTACAGATGTCATCAGCAGCCTGAGTGTTCTTAGAAAGCAGAATAGAACTTTTAAGCGGATTCACATTGAGGCCGGTGACAGTAGTAAATTCTTTAAGAATGGAATTAATAGTGTGGGCATTCCTCACAGTGGCCTTGCAAAACACTAAAAGATCATCAGCAAACATAAGGTGAGAGACCTCACACCTTTCAACCTTGATAGCTTGAAGGGAGTTGCTAGCAGTAGCACCTTCAAAAATAGAGGACAAACCATCCATGATGATAGAGAAGAGGTAGGGAGATAGAGGGCAACCTTGCCTGATACCCGAAGAGGAGTTAAAATAGCCTTCAAGCACCCCATTAATGCAGATAGAGAAGTGTACGTTGGAAGTGCAAGCTTTGATCCAAGAGGTAAACAAGCTAGGGAAGCCTTTATCTTCTAATCTTTTGTAAAGAAAATCTCTAGACACCATGTCAAATGCTTTAGTGATGTCAAACTTGGCACATAAGTATTTGTGGTTGGCTTTAAGGTTTAACCGACCAAGGATATCAGTGGCCAGAATGATATGGTCAGAAATGATTCTCTTGTGAATGAAACCACCTTGATTAGGGTGGATAATATGCGGCATCACCATCTTCATTCTATTTGCAATGATTTTGTAAATGACATTGCATATGGCAATAGGTCTATAGTCTTTGACATTGGAAGCATGAGTTTGCTTAGGGACAAGGGCAATAGCAATTGCTTTAATCTGATTAGGCATGAAACCAGTGGTAAAGAAGGAATTGACAGCTCTATAAAGTTGGTGCTGTAAGACATTCCAAGTTGATCTATAAAAGTCGAAAGTGAAGCCGTCAGGACCAGGAGCAGTGTTAGGATTGCCAGAAAAAAACTATGTTTTTAATCTCCTCCATAGTAACCGGGGCAATAAGGGAAGAGGTGAGGTGAATAGGAATCCGTTTCCCAGCAGAAATATCAGAAGAAAGATGGTTGGTAGCTGGGGAATTGAAGAGATTCTTGAAGTGATTAATAAAAACATTGGAAATATCTTCATGCTTGGTGTAGGTGCCCTGATCATTGGAAATAGCCTTGATCCTATTGTAGTTTTTGGTGATGTTGATTTTGGAATAGAGAAATTTCAAATCGTCTTCGCCATGGGTGAGCCATTTAATCTTGGCTCTTTGAATAATCCATCTAGAGAGAGCATCTTGGTAAAACGCAAGATTTGTATTGATTAGGTTGAGCCTGCCATTCAAGGCCAAATCGAGTGGGCTGCTTTGAATTTGAGAAATAACAGAGTGTTGGAGATTTTTAAAATTGTCAATGTCTCTTTGGATCTGATTGGCATTGGTCCAGCTTTTGTGCTTCATAGCATTCTTAAGAGTTTTGAGCTTGAAGTTGAAAGAGCTTAGGGGACTACTCTTATTGGGAAGAGAGAAAATCTCCAAAAGGCAAGCCCAAAATTCAGGAAACCTTGTGTAGTAGTTTTTATATAAGAAGCGGTGGCCACGTTTGTTGTCAGTAGAGCAGACTAAAATGAGAGGGGAGTGATCAGAGCAATCCGGGTCCTCAATTTTGTAGAAAGAATTGGGAAAGTAGTCGAGCCATTTGTCATTAACTAGAACACGATCTAGTTTAATATGGATGGGATTTTGAGGCTGCTGATTGTGCCAAGTAAAGAAGTGCCCAACAGAGGATAAATCATGGATGCCAGCATTAAATACCATGTTATTGAAATCTCCCATTTTAGAAACTGTCAAAGGAGTGCCCCCAATTTTGTCTTCCAGCTCACGGCAGCAGTTAAAGTCCCCCAAAACAGCCAAAGGGGAATTGATAGAACCAGCCAAATTTTGGATATCTTTCCATAAAGATTGCCTTTCATTATAAGAGTTACTAGCATAAACAACAGTAATCCTGCAAGCTGCATTAGCATTAGTAGTAATTGTACCGTGAACGAGTTGGTTAGTCACAAGAAGAGGGCTAAAATTTAAAGCGCCCTTGTTCCACTTAACCCAGATGCGGCCCGGGTTGGAAACCTGAAAATTGTCACAGTTACCTTCTATTGAGAAAATTTGATGGTTGGCCAAAAACCAATCGTTGTGGAGGTTATTAGGGGTAATTTTGGCTTCAAGGATGAAGAGGAGATCAAGATTGTGGGTTTGGACAAGAGTTTTGCAGCTTTTTACTTTGACAGGGTCGTTAAACCCGCGTATATTCCATGTTGCAATGTTGGGAAAGGTCATTGGGCTTTGTTGTTGGGGGTAGAGGCTTTTTTTCCAGTCTTGCCTCTAGTTTGTTTTTGATTTTGGTTGCTAGCATGTTGGGTTTTTGGGGTGTTGGAGGTGGAGCTGCTTGTGTCATTTGAAGTTGTAGGGATGTTAGGTTGATGGTTGCGGGGGGATGTATGGGGTGGACTGTTGTGGTTGAGGATGAGGTTAGCACTTTCGGTATTGGCATTTGCCGTATTATTGAGAATTGGGTCATTTATAGAGCTTTGAGGTTGAACTTCCTCAGTTTTATCCAGATCTATTAAGGTTTGGAATTTGTTGGCTGTGTTTATGGGAGGAGGATCTTTAGGTTTGAAAGATGGTTCAGGATTTTCCTGCACATCGCCAGAAGGAGAGTTCAGGTTGGGGAGAATCGGGCCAGCAGTATTGTTGCTAGTAAGGATTTGGGTGGGGATGAGAGTGGTGACCGAGCTGTTCACCTTGAGTGGCTAAGTGGGCTTGGGTATAGTGAGTCTGGGAGGAGGCTGGGTGATGACAGGAGGTTTTGAAATGGGGTCTTTGGGGCAGAGCGTGGGAGGGTGCATAATAGAACCGCACTGTGAGCAATGTTCGGGTTTCCAGTCGTAGGCCACACGAAGCGGAGTGACTTTGCCATCAACAGAATAGAAGATTTCTTTAGGTAAAGGGGAAGAGCTAGTAATTTGCACACAAACACGCGCGAACGTGAGGCGTGTTTTTTCCGCAGTAAGAGCATCTACTGCAATAGGAATTCCAATGCAACTAGCAAGTTTAGAAATACCTTCCGGTGTCCAAAGTGAGAGCGGCAAGTTTAAGATTTTAACCCAGAGAGGTATGGAAGGAAATTCCTCACGCTTAGGAACGAAATCAGGACTCCATTTCTGCAAAATGAACGGCTTCCCAAAGAAAAACCAGGGGCCCCCTATCCAAGCATGTTCGTAGTCTTCAAGGGCAGTGAACTTTAGCAAAAAGAACCCATCATCCATGGTGAGGAGAGACAGTTCTCCTTTGAGCTGCCATGTCTTTTTGATCGTCGCTAGAAGAGCTTCGTAGAAAGGGCGCTTCCCGATGGAGTATCCTACCAGCGATAAAGCCCATTCCGGAGCTCCAGCAACAAATTGGTCGGTGGTGAAGTTGGCGGTAAAATTATTGGTAGGGACAAAAGAGAGCGAGTGTGAAAAATTTGTGAATATTTGAGGGGTGGTGGTGAGGAGATTCTTCTAGAGGGGAAGAACAGCGGAGCGAGTGGGCGATGTAGTAACAGGGGATGAAAGAGGCGGGAAAACAGATGCGGCCATAGGGGAGGAAGCCCCCTGGCCGGAGAAGGCGGCGCAAAGGGACGCAATCTAGGGTTTAGAAGGAAACCCTAGAACGGAGCTCTCGAAACCCCACACACACAAAATTTTTGTTAATTTCTACGCTTTGGTTCGGGTCGGGTCCAATATTGACACCTATTAAGAGGCATTTATAAAAAATATGATGCGATTTTAAAGGCAAACATCAAATCCACCTTAGTTCTCCAAATTCAAAATCTCACATCAAATCTTCCTTCTATCATTATAGAGAGATAGAATTGCTTAATTATGTTTTTAAAGCGCCTAAAATCAGTAAGTCCAGACAATATCACAAAGCATAAAAAAAAAAAAAAAAAAAAAAAAAAAAAAAAAAAAAAATTGGCATATACATAAATTGCATTCACATAAGCAACTATTACATAAAACAAGAATAATAAAGTTCTTCAATTGCAATCATATATGGCCAACTTGACTCTCATTTGCAGCTAAGAAGAAGTTTATAAATAAGATATAACATTGCATAAGGGTAAATCCTATGCAATGTATTCTTGTGTAGATCCTATCATATGACGAGTCAATTATAGTCATGTATTATAGAATAGTTCCTATAAATATATTTTGATAAAATGAAAAAGATTTTGTGAATGAGCTTATTTTTCAGTTTTTTGTATGTTTAGTAGTTTTATAGTCTGTTATTTGTTTAAAATATATATTGTAAGAGAAACTGAGAAACTGAAACAATTATAAAACTAGATCTTGAAATTTGTCTATCACAGCTCAACATTCAAATTATTTATCAAATGCATAAGTTCACTTATGATTTTTATTAATAAAAAGATGAAGAATATATATATTTATTCATTATTTTGCTTACAAGAAGCATGAATTAGAAGTTTCCCAATTCATAAACCTTACAATCAATCACCACTAATCCAAGTAATCAAAATTTCGCTTTGTTCACTTTTGTTGATTTTTCTTTTACAATCTGAATTTTTCACATAAAAAATTATGCACCTATTTTATATATCTAATTGTTAAATTTTGCAACATTTAAGATTAAAGAACAAAAAATTATTGTCCAACAAAATTGATCTACCTTGCAATTAATAATCCCAAAATTATATTTAGGCTATATTTTGGAATATCTTTTGAATGCTTTCGTGGTAAGAAAAATAAATAGTAAAAAATAATATATTTAGGATGCATTTTTTTCACCGTTATTTTAAATTATTACCTTTAAAAAACTATTTTTCAAAAAATATTTTTAAACCTATAATTAAGAAGTAAACCTCTAAAATTAATAACTTAAAAGTTTAAATTGTCCTAAAAAAAATTAAAGCTTTTTTCAGGACAGCTTTTTCACAGTTTTCCTAAATTTTTTTAATAAAAATCAGTTTTTTTTAACAAAAAAACATTTAAGTTACTTTCTTCTTAACAATTTTACAATCATTTTAATACAACTTAATTTAAAGTCGTCCCAAACCAAATAAACTCTTATTCTTCTTTCAGGACAACTTTTTTATCATTTTTGTATTTGATATATGTGTGAATTAAACTTATTATTTATTTATCAGTGATATTATTTTATTTGCACAATTTTTTTTTTTTAAAGTAAGAAAATATGATTTTTTATTTATTTGATAGCTTAGAATTTCATACTAGGATAATGAGTACTATGGTCGAGCATGGGGGTATTATTAGAAATCATCTTGGTAATGTTGTGATGACTAATGATGGGCCTGTCCTTGCTCGTTTCACGATTATGACTGAACTTTATGGTCTTAACTATGGTATCAACCTTTGTATTAACTTATGTTTCCATAATATATGGATTGAAGCTGATGCTATGCTTCTTATCAACTACGTGACCCCTTTTTTTTTTTGCATAATGCTAGTAACTTCTATTTGATTAGAGAAATTAAACAAAGTCTATCCACTATTAACTTTAAAATTTCTCATATTTTGCGTAAGGAGAACATGTGTGTTAATGTGCTTGCTAAATATGGTTGCAATCTTTCCAATATTCATGAGTTTAATGAGTTTACATTTTTATAAATTTATTAATTGTGACTGCAATGATTCTATGTTCATGGATAATGATATCTTGTTGGAGTTTTTGGGGTTTTTTCCCTGTTTTACTTGACAAACTTCTGCTCTTTACATTTCACTGTAGCACGTTAACGATGAATTGTTGGTTCTTGAGCATGTTCATTTTTTCGTGAGGAGGCCCAGCTTAATCACTATTTTTTCATCTTCTTATTTTGGAACTTTTATTTGGTCCGGTGACCTGACGTAACTCTACGTTCGGACACCACTAAAATATCGCCACATATTCTTACTCTTTACCGTGCGGCCTGACAACCCGACCCGGAACGACAGGGGATTACTTTGTTCGCGTATTGCTAAGTATTGTTCGGTATTGCTAGGTATTGGTCGATTTTGCTCGACAATAACGAGAAATACCATTCTGTGAAGATCAATACCGAGCAATACCAAGTTTTACTCGGTATTACCAAATCTCGGTATTGCTCGGTATTGGTCTTCACAGAGCGATATTTCTCGTTATTGCCAAGCAATACTTAGCAATACCGAGCAATACGCGAACATAGCAAACCAATATCGAGCAATACCAAGTTTTTCTCAGTATTACTCGGAATTGCTCGGTATTGGTCTTAACAGAGCGGTATTTATCGTTATTGCCGAGCAATACCAAGCAATACTGAGCAATACCAAGCAATACGCGAACATAGCAATCCCGGGGTCCGATCCGGGTCAAGTTGTACGTCGGGCCACGCAGTAAAGAGTAAGAGCACGTGGCGACATGCTATTGACGTCCGAACGTAGAGCTACGTCCGATCACCTGACCTAATAATTGTTCCTTATTTTGGAGGTTTGTATTTATGATTAGTAGATACCACTGGCTTATAGGTATTTTTTTATTTATTTTTAGCTCGTTCGAGCATCAGAGAGCTGGATGTCCCTTTAAGGATCTTATAAATTTGATTGATGATTAACACTGAAACCACGCCGGTGGGTTTTAACCACACACAAAAAAAAAATAAAAATAAAAATAAAACTATTTGGCTATACATATTAAACAATCTTATACTCTAAAGAGTACCACCACAAACGGAAATGGCACCTCTATACTACTTCATAGCACTCCTTACAATCACCCTCCTCGTCCTCCTCTCTGGCCACCGCCGCCGCCGCCGCCGCCACCTCAACCTACCTCCCACGATCCCAAACTCCCTCCCCATCATCGGCCACCTCCACCTTATCTTTCGCCAGCCACACCAACCCCTCCACCGCACCCTCACCTCCCTCTCTTCCACCTACGGTCCCATCCTTCACCTCCACTTCGGCTCCCGCCCCGTACTCATCGTCTCCTCCCCCTCCGCCGCCGAAGAATGTCTTACCACCAACGACATAATCTTCGCTAACCGACCTTTACTACTTTCCGCAAAGTACCTCGGTTTCAACCACTCCATCCTCGGCGCCGCCCCCTACGGCCCTTACTGGCGTAACCTCCGTCGAATCGCCACCATCGAGCTACTCTCCACATCACGCATCGTCTCCTTAGCTCGAATCCGGGCTGAAGAAACCCGATCCCTCCTCCGCTCTCTATTCTCTACCGCCGCCGCCGACCGATGGAATCTCGCCGAGATGAAAACAAGCATAAAAAATCTGTCTTTAAACACCATGATGAGGATGGTGGATGGTGAAAAGTACTACGATGAGAGATTTTGGTTGATGGTAGAGGACGCGTTTAAGCTGAGCGGTAGTTCGAGTGTGGAGGATTTTGTTCCTTGGATTACTTGGTTTGGCGTGGCGGCGACGAAGAGGAGGATGATGAGATTAGGGAAGGAGTTGGATGAGAGGTTTCAGATGATGGTGGATGAACGGAGGAGGAGGAGGAGGAGTGTGGTGGAGGAGAAGACTTTAGTTGATGTGATGCTGGCTTTGCAAGAAGAGGAGCCAGAGAGATATTCTGATGAGATCATCAAGGGGATGTTATGGGTAATGTGTTTATTTACTTTTAAATTCAGATTTGTTTCATGATATTATAATATAATTTATATCATTATAGGTTATCAAATGATAAAATAGTTAACATTGGAAGATATTTACATTTTCTATAAAGAAAAAATAATCTCTTGTTCTACTTTTTTTTTTTTTTTTGTGTTTATATATGTTAAGTATTATTTTAATTTTAAATATTTATCTTTTATATTTGTGCTTTTTTTGAAAAAAAAATGATAATAATCAGGATATTCTTATGAGCTTTAAAGACATTATATCTATTTTGAGATTAGTGCAATGCATCAATAATTTATAGTATACATATCTCAAAATAAATCTAAAGATTTTAACCTTTTTTTTTATTTTATCTTGAAACAAATATATCATGATATCACATACAAACTATTTTTTGGCTTTAGGTTCACCATTTAAAAAAAAAAAGAAAAAAAAAAGTGCTCAAATTTCTTCAACCATGATAAAATTTCAACTCCTATTTTTAAATCTCATTGGATTTACATAGGAGGATAAGATTTGTTATTTGTTTGGTCCATGTAAACCCAATAGTCACCAATTCAGTACCATCTTTGATGTCATTGTTGGAATGTGATTGAAAAGTTGGGATTTATTATAAAAGAGGAGATACTAAATTAAATAGGTTTTTTTTTTTAAATAAAATAATTATCATTAATTAAAAGGATAATTAATAAAATAGGTCATATGGGCAATGAAAAGGAAAAAAAGTAGAGAATTCAAATGTAGGTAAACTTCATTTTCCATTTAGATGCATCATTTAAAGAAAATCAAATAATACGAGGGAATTTCATCTGAACTTTCTTTTTCAATTTCCCGCAATATATGCTTAGATAAATAGATATATATGATGTAATGTCGTTAGGATTCTTGCATATGGGAATACTTAAATTAAATAGTATAGAGATAATTTAACGTCGTAGTTTGTACAACGATTCAACGCACATATGGATAAAATAATTCAGATTAGTCATGAATACATTTTTCCAATCAATCTTTATAAATAAATGCATGACTATAAAAATGAACATAATAACAAATAAAATACTTATATTCATAATCTCATTTATCTCAGTCGATTGTGTCCTTATCCTTCTCTAAAATTATGAAAAATCATATAGTGAGTAGAAGCTTATTGCACCCAGTGCATGAAAAGTAGAATAATATCCATGTAATAATTGAAATCATGAGTAGAGTATGGTTATCATATATTCATGTGCATGTAATATATAAATATGAATAGTAATGGCTAGTATGAATAATGTCAATTAATATGAATCATAATCATGAAAGTGAGCAATAATCATTGACTTGGAACAAGGGGTGTCAATATTTGACATGACCCGAAAACATGACTCGAATCCGACCCGAAAAATTCTGGGTTAGGGTCATCCCGAACCCGAAACGGGTCAGGTTCGGGTTCAACAATTGGACCCGTTTTAAAAATCGGGTCGGGTTCAGGTTGACCCTTTGACTCGAAATTGACCCGAAAATCTATTTTTGACCCGTCAACTCAAGAATGACCTGTTCTTTACCCGAAAAGTGGAGATTAACACATTTTTGGACCAAAAAACTAGCAGTTTTTGTTGGCACCGGGTCATTCAGGTGATGCTGAGTTGACCCGGACCCGAAGCGGGTCGGGTTCGAGTTCTAAAAACCGATCCATTTATAAAAATAGGTCGGGTTTGGGTTGACCCGAATAGTGCCGGGTCAGTTTCGGGTTCAATCCAAACCCGACTTGTGACTCGAAATTGACACCCCTACTCGGAATTATCCCAAAATATTAAGAATAATGTTATAGTTATATTATCATGGGAATCATGTAAGCTAATACACTTGTGATTGAGGTATTTTAGTTATCAATGAATGTTAATATCATGAATGGTATTTCTATGTCTTATCATGTTATTTATGCAGTATGTATCAATCTCATATGTAAGTGTATCACATATATGTATCAATATCAATATCATTATGCATCATGTTCGTGTATTATATCATGTATCATATAGCTCATATAGCATATAACTTATACATATATTATCTCTAGCATCATATCATGCATGTATATATGCATGTACATATTCTTATAAATACATGTTTGGACATCAAAAATCATATGATATTTTCTTTTATCTTGTCATATCATAATTGTGCATCAAGTGGCTTCTTGCAACTTGCAAGAGTCATTACTCCTACGCTTTTGTATATCTCATCCGCTTATGACTCCTTATCTTTTATTAGTATTATACTAAAATCTCTTAATTTAAAAGAAATCTCATTGGCCCACCCTCCTGTAAAAGATATTTTGCTCCAGCTAATCTAAATCATTCTATAAATAACCAGTCTTTTTAGCATCACACACCAATGCTATATCTTATATGCAATTCATATCATATCATATGTGTATCTTATGCAATTTAACATTTGTATTATTTTAACACTATTATATCAATATACATGTCCTACCAATGTACTCGGTATAGTATGCATGTTATTTTAGGTGAACTATATCATATTCATGCCATATCATACTTGATAAAATAGATGCATCAATCCTAATATATTCACATGTGTCCATTATTCTTGTTAGTTCAGTTAAAATATTATACATGTAAAACTACTATGTAAAAATATAATATGATCAAATCAAAATGTGTAGAATAATATATATTTATATATATCAAAACTTATACACTGAATGTTCATTAAATTGAGAGATAATATATTTTAATCAAATTTTAGAGGAATAGAAAATCAAAACTCAAAATCATCAACAAAAATAGGATTCGGAGTACCTACCACGATTAGAACAACCTTCACAATTAGAGAACAGATGGAAATGCTTGCATGAGTTGTCTTATGGATCATACATAGTTCATTAATGTTGCACTTTCTCTTCCCCTCGAGGATACTCCCCTAATCATATGGTTTAATTCTTAAAATTAAATTTTGTCACTCAATTAGAAAGTGCAACACTCATGTTTATAAAAGATGTTTTGTCATATAGATGGCCATAAAAAAATAATAATTATAGAGATATAAAAGAGAAATGTTATACTCCTAAAACTTGTGAATTTATATACCAGTGTTTTTTTAAACATCAAACTCTGAAAAAAAAAAGTGAACTTCTTCATCAATTTAAAGTCAAACTGATACATCATGAAAAAATAGGTTTGATTGAGAACAAATGTTGACGTATATTTGAATTAAAAACTTACATAATTAAGTTCACCGGGCCATCCAAATTTCTATTTTAACAAATTTATAATCAAATTGAATCCCTCAGCTATATAATAATCTATATTCAAAGGAATTAATAGGTGTAATCCTAATGAGTGTTTAAAAAATTTTCAATATTTGTAGGATATGCATCTTTGCAATGTCCTAGGATCTAATTGAAGGATTGAATACCTAAATCTCACAATTATCACTCAACAACAAAACACCTAGAGATCCTAAAAGCCATATAATAAAAACAACTTAACATTTTTCATTTCATCAAAAACTTATATATAATGATCCAATTACTTTCAATCTATAAATCAAAATAATTAAAATTGAATTACAAAATATTTCATAACTTAGCATACTTCTTTTCTTAGCCCATCACAGATATCAATGCCCATTCAAAATATTAAATAGCAATTTAATTAAACCTCAATAACTTATAAAAAATGCATAAAGTACTAGCAGAATATGATTTTTTAGGATTTTATATATACTTGAATTGAGAGTTCTTACTTATGCTTTTAAATCTACTTTGACAGAGATTTTAGATACTTCATAGAATATTTTATCATCAGAGGCTGACTTGCACATGTTATTAGCATTCATATAGAAATTCAGTAATCCCTAACATTCAGTTTATAATCTCACTTATATGAACAGGTCTTAATTGCAGCTGGAACTGAGTCTTCTTCTGGAACAATGGAATGGGCACTCTCCCTTCTTCTAAATCATCCCAAAACATTACAAAAGGCAAGAGATGAGATAGACTTTCATGTAGGTCGTGATCGTTTGATCACAGATTCAGATCTTCCTCATCTTCACTACCTGCAAAATATAATTAAAGAAACTCTTAGATTATATCCAGCTGGTCCTCTTTTAGTCCCACACTACTCATCAACAGACTGCACTGTAGAAGGCTACAACATTCCAGGTGGAACCATGTTGCTGATAAATGTTTATGCGATTCAGAGAGATCCAAAGCTATGGAAAGAAGCAGAAAGTTTCAAACCTGAGAGATTCGACGAAGGAGAAGGATCAGAAGGTTTTCAGTTCTTTCCATTTGGTTCGGGAAGAAGAAAGTGCCCAGGAGAAGTTATGGCAAATAGAATGATGGGCATGACATTGGGAGCTTTGGTTCAGTGTTTTGAGTGGGAGAGAGTTGGGGAAGAAATGGTTGATTTGTCAGAAGGAGAAGGGCTTACTCTGCCTAAGTTATTTCCTTTGGAAATAAAGTACAAGCCTAGGGAGGTTATGATGAATGTTCTATCACAGCTTTGATTGATTAGCTGCCATGCTGAACAATTATATATATAACTAAATTGATAGCTGGCCGATGTTTAAATAAATGTCTTGTATGGTGTTATGTTTAAGATCTTTGGATGTTTTAAAAATAAAACATCTATTTGTATTCATATAAAAAAATACTGTGTTTCTATGTATCTATAACATTGAAATCATCTGGAGAAAGCCTATATATTTGCCATTAAAGCTAGACATCAATCTTTGTTTTAGGCCTTTCAAACTTCATCTCCTTAGCTCCTTCTAGCAATATATGGCAAAGGTACTCATTTATAACTGCAATTTCATGTGCCAGAGTTATTAAACTTTGAAAGCAAACTGTTGTGATTGTGATCATTGAATTCTTTTTCTTTTAACGTTTATGTTTGTTGGAGCTGTTTCCCCTTGTGTGTCTTGAGCTATTAATCCGTGCGGACACCGGACGGAAAAATCGTCCGGTTAAGCGCTCGGTACCGAGCGCGATATATTTTTGGAGTGACATGGCGCATTTTTATTGGTCTCCGGACACCCTCTAGACTCCACACAGAATAATAAATGGTTTACATGACCTCAAATAATGTAAGCATGTATAAAGGAGTTATTGTGATAGGAAGAACAATCCCTCGGTGTTCCTCATGAAAAATTATTATGTGCGGTGTTCGGACGCATCACGTCATCCAATGCATAGTGCATTGGATGATGTGGTGCATCCGAATTGACTTCCAGATGTGTTCGACCGTACAGAATAATCTCTTGTTTTTTAAGGTGAGAAAAGTTGATGTGGAACATCTTAGTTATAACATACCTTAGGAATAGTTTATCTACTTTGTTATAGTTTTCTAGAAAGGTTTAGAATATTCTACTACTAGGTTGTATATTTAATCATTCTAGTAAGAAGAAGATAAAGTTCTTTACTATTTAGTTTTTCTTCTAGCAAATTCATTTCTTCCATCCATCCACTGCAACATACGTAGCTTTGAAAAGATCTACTTGTGCTTCCTGATTACGCCATTAATTCTGGGAAACTTGTCGTTGAGCTTATGGAGAGATCTCAAATGATCGGCTGTGAGTGATCTACTAGTGTTTTTCACTCGACAAAGCTGCGGATTTACATTCAATCAAGGATCAACGTAAGATTTGCTTAGCCTTAATTAGAAGTTATAATCAAGTAATTTTTTACTTTATTTTTAGGACTTGCAACAGTTAGGATTGTGAAATAAAAATTATTGACATTATTGATGTATAGAGATATTTTAACTGGCACAAAGGACTTGCACATAAACAAAAAAAAAAAAAAAAAAAAAAACAAATTGCAGAAAAAACCAAGGTTCCACATGAAAATTTCGGCGAAAAAAATCACGAGCTTTGACATAATTGAAATGATTTTATTAGTGTATTATGTAGGGTAATCAAGGAGGACGTTCGTATGATGTAGTATACATGAAGTGGATTGGATGATGGATTATATTATATGGTAGAAATTAGAAGAGACCCATGATGTTTGAGTTACCTTCGATGAATTATTCTTTGTCTTGGTTGTTCTCATTTGTGAAATAGAGACTATATTAGGTGAGTTGGTTTTAACAGCATGCATCGATTTTGCTGGCCATGACACAACAAACTCACCAATTATTGGAATTTGTGTCAATGACATCCATCAGCTTCATATGCAATAGACGATGATAAGAGACAAACTATATGGGCATCATCAATTGTATCGATGGCATGCATTATTCGTATATGTGATGGTATGCATTGACATTGGTGTCCATGGCTAGCGATGAAATCTAAGTCCATTGGCATTTGTGTCGACGGTGTGCAACAGCTTTATAAATAATAGCATTTGTCAATGTTGTCGGGAATGGCGGGTAGCAGCATTTATTTAAGAAGCGTGCATCAACCTATTAGCAATAGTAAAAACCAATGTTGTTAGCGACAAAGTCATCAAGAGATGGTTTTCTAATGACCGTAGTCATATGAAAATGGCCCGGGGACTGTAGTCAGTAGCGGAGCCAGAAAATATATCTAGGAGGGGGCCTAATTTTTTTTTTTAATTTTCCTTCAACTTTTTACATCCTGACTTAGGACCAATATAATCAGTATTAAAAATGATAAAACTTTGGTAGTGAATTAATTTATTTTCTTCCTTCACAAAATGACTTCAATCATCAAATCACTTGATTTCTGCTAGAACATGTTTAATATATTAACTAAATATGTGATATTAAAAATCTCATTGCAAAAAAAAAATCATAAAATCTCTTTAAGATCGAATCAATATAGGATTAAGATAATATCAATCAAGAAAAATAAATAAATGAATAGGAAATTAAATTGGGAATGATTTGAATGGATGATCAATCTTAATCATGGACCGTTTATTGGGCATTTAAATGTCTTAGTGATATCAGAATTTGGCGATATTGGGCTCGTTGGATTCGTCTTGTCTAGCCGCTCGATTCGACTATAAGAATGTCATGTTTGGAAACCGTTTGGTAATACAAAATATGCTTCGGGTCTTTGATTTGGAGTCATTTGGGTTCGGATTGAGTTGAATTTGGTGTTGTTGGGTTCGTATTTTTGAGACATTCAGTTCGACTATAAGTTTACTAAAACCGGAGTTCATATGGTCTCTGATTTAATTCTTGAAGTCCCGCCCCCTTACTGTAGTCATGAGATTATGTTAGTTAATAAACTATAGTTGGGTGATTGTGACTATTCAATGATGGCCAGGCAACAATATTTGGGTGCTGATTATTACAATGTTAGGTTGTGTGAAGTAACTGCTAACGGTGATCATCAATATTAAATGATAGGCGGAGCTTTAGAGTTTTCGAATTTCCAAGCTCTCTATAATTTCAAAACAAGGCCTAAGCTCTAAGCCCCCTTTCAAGTGGAAAAATAGATGTCTATTTTTAATCTTTTTGGGTGGCACTTTGTTAATTTTAGTTAAAATTCTAACAATTTTATAGCATAGCTTGTTCTAAATCATTTGATCACGGGCTATTCATTCAATATTTAAGTGTCTTAATTATCTTATAATTGTATGATATTGGAATTGTTGCACTCCTACCATTGGGAAGCTTCTTTTTACCATAAACAAATGAGATTTGATAATCATTTAGTCTTGATTTGTAACCAAAAAATCATCTTGATCGGGCATAAATCTAGATGCAAATTTAAATTATAACTTTCTAAAATTAAATTCGGGACCATCCAAACTCCGATTTCAACAAGCTTATGGTCAAATTGACTATCTCAAGAAGACAACCCCGATGACACTAAATTCAGTTCAATCCGAGCCCAAATGAGCTCAAATCGAAGAACCAATGATTCTAAATTCAATCCTAAGACTTTTTTAATCAAATACTAAATCAAAATATATGTTTGATATAGATTTTGTGATCGTATATCAAACCATTTGAAAACCATTAAGTCAAATAAATGACGTTTTCAAATGACATTAATGTTAGAAGAGATTCCTCACGCAAACTCTTTGCATTGTTGGCAAATTTGGGATAGCAAATGCCCGTCCGATGAAAGCTAAACGCATTAATAGCAAACCAACGGTCATCTAACGTTATAACTACACTGCGCATTCATAAAGAATATTTAATATAGAATGACTATTTTTAGTCAAAATATCATGAAAGTGAAATTATCAAATATTACAAAAATAATCCACTGTAACTTAGCTTGGTTGGTGTGCGAGTACGGTTGGGAACCCCCCAACCCATGCTCGATTCCCCTCGAGCTGCAGTGCCTCTTAACTGGGGCCCAATCAAGTGCGGGGCAGGAGGTTTCTAGGGTGGGTGCCTCTTCTAGGTCAGTTAAGGATTAATCACGCCGCCAAGTGTTTTTCGGCCATGGCAGCAGGTGGATACCCCGTTCCCAAAAAATAATTACAAAAATATATTAATTTTTTTTTGTGTAAAAAGAATAAAAGATTATATTTTGACTATTTATATGCATCTCCTCATGAACCAAAGAATTAAGAAACAAATGGAGACCACCCCACAATCCTACTTCACAACACTCCTTATAATCACCTTCCTCTTACTCTTCTACGTCCGACGCCGGCGCTGCCACCACCTCAACCTCCCTCCCACCATCCCCGGCTTCCTCCCCATCATCGGACACCTTCATCTCCTACGCCGCCGGTCCAACCAACCCCTCCATCGCACGCTGGCCTTCCTCTCTTCCACATACGGCCCCATCCTCCTCCTCCGCTTCGGCTCCCGTCCCGTTCTTATCGTCTCCTCCACCTCCGCCGCCGAAGAATGTCTTACCACCAATGACATAATCTTCGCCGACCGGCCTTTGCTCATTTCTACAAAGTACCTGGCTTTTAACAACTCCATCCTCGGCACCGCCCCCTACGGCCCCCACTGGCGCAACCTCCGTCGAATCGCCACCATCGAGCTACTCTCCACTTCTCGCATCAACTCCTTAGCTCGAATCCGTGCTAACGAAATCCGATCCTTCGTCCACTCCCTATTTTCTACCGCGGCCGACCAATGGAATCGAGCCGAGATGAAAACAAAGCTAAAAAATCTAAGCTTTAACATTATGATGAGAATGGTGGTTGGTGGGAAGTACAACGAGGAGAGGTTCTGTATAATGATAGAGGAGGCGCTTAGGCTGAGTGTTTCTTCGTGTGTGGAGGATTTTGTGCCCTGTGTTAGGTGGTTGGGTTTGGTGGGGACGAAGAGGAGGTTGATGAGATTGGGGAAGGAGGTGGATGAGAGTTTTCAGAACATGGTGGATGAGAGGAGGAGGAGGAGGAGAAGGGCGGCGGAGGAGAAGGCTTTACTTGATGTGATGCTAGCTTTGCAAGAAGAGGAGCCAGAGAGGTATTCTGATGAGATCATTAAGGGCATGTTATGGGTAATGTGTTTGTTTTTCAAATTTGAATTTATTTTTTTTATTTTATGTGTAATCAGAAAATGATCTTGGTACTATAAAAATAAAAAAATAGATAAATATAATATGATTAGTTTTATAATCATAAATTTATTTTAAACTAAATAAAACAAGAAGCATACTTTTTAACTATTTATTAAATTCCTTTCAAAATAAATTTAATAATTTTATTTCGTAGATATTGATAACATAAAGCCGTCTAAAATCATCAAATAGCAATAGATATAAATATTTTCATTTCATTTTTTCACATAATCAAAAGAATAATGGAAAAAAAAATCCTAATATAATTCTTTTCTCACATAGCTTCTCGAGCATAAAATCATTATATTGCCAAAAGAATAAAGTTATAAGAAAAATATGTCTACAAACTGAACTACAAGCCTTATATCAATTGATTTTACTTGGCTACGGTCTTACCCTTTCTTGAAATGGCATAGTATGGATAAGTAACGCTTGCTTCGTAGGTTACACAAAATCTATGAAAAATTTAATATTTACTTTAATTAAATTTGCATAATGGTTTAACATTTAATGAACAAATGAAATATAATTTTAAATAAGGTAACATGGGTTTATGTGTTAGGTGTCATTATAATTACTGATTGATACGTTATCAAAATCGTCTTGACTAAGCATGAATCTCAAAGCATATTCAAGCCGAAAACTTTCGAAATTAAATGTGGGACCATTCGAACTCCAATTTTAGAAAACTTATAATCAAATTGAACGTGTCATCGATCGAGATGAACCCAACAACACCAAAATCGGTCCAATTCGAGCCCAAATGGGCCCAAATCAAGGGACCAAAGCATATTTGAAAGCTTAAAAGCATAAATTGGATAATCAAATGATCTCCAAATATGACATGCCTAAATTCAAATTGAGCTGCCCGTTGGGACTAATCTAATGAGCATAAGATCGCTTAATTATAACTTCACTAAGGCACTTAAATGTTGCATAAACACTCTATGATTGAATGAATAAATATGAGTCATCCGATGGAGCACTCTGAATTTGCTTTTGATCTTCTATATATTTATAAATAAATCTGCCAGTAGAGACTTAAAGCATGGCGGAGCTCCACCCCAACGCCACTGCCAGCGAACCCTCACGACCAGGCCACCGCTGCTGATCCTTTACCTTATAATCTTTATCATACCTCTATCCGGCTACCATAGTCGGGTCTACTTCTGACCACCATCGCTTGATTTTGGTTCTTCCAACCACCGTTGCCCATTGACTATAGTCCCTCTAACATTCGTCTCCAGCCAACTATAGTCCCTCCAACTTCTGTCGCTCACAGACTACTATCCCTCTGACATATATCTTTCGCTCCCTGATTACGGCCCCTCTGATCTCCCTCACAAGCCGACTACGATCCCTCCAACCTCCGTCTGATAATTTTACTGCTTTACTATTATAGATTACTAGTTTACTACCACTGTACGAATTTACTATTAATGTCACAGATTTTCCGGCGGAAAATTTTGCGCCGGTAAGAACGGCGCAGGTAACGGCGGATTATTGCGACGGAAACCTTACGACGCATTTTCCGGCGCAAAATACGCCGTAAACCTTCCGGCGTCCCATGCGCCGGTCTATGCGTCGGTAAAACGAGCGTTGAACCATTTCTGTCGCACGTTATGGCGGAAAAATACCGGCGCAAATGACCGGCGGATATTGCGCCGGCGTATTTAAACTCAACGAATTATTTCCCACGCAAATTGCGTCGGCAATGTTACCGGCGTTTACGCCGCCAGAAAGTCCGCCGGTGAAAGCCTTATTTTTCGTCACCGAGCCCCTCTGGCCGCTCATTCATTTCCTTCCGTTCTCTCACCTCGCGTGTTTCGCCCGTCGCCGTCCGTCGCTCGCCGTGGATTGACATCGCCGACGGTCACCGGACTTCGCCGAGCATCCTCTCTTTCCTGCTCACGCGCCGCCGAGGGTCGTTCTTCGCCGATGGAAGGTATTTTGTTTCGTTTTTTTTCTATTTCGGTTGGATTACATATAGGATCAGCCTTAAGTCCATATCTTTTTGCTTTAGTTATGGATGTTCTCACTAGACATTTGCTAGATGATGTACCTTGGTGCATGCTTTTTGTTGATGATATTCTTCTTGTTGATAAAACTAGAGAGAGAGTTGAAGGTAAACTTGGATTATGGAGCTCAACATTAGAGACTAAAGTTTTTCGATTGAGTAGATCTAAAACGAATTATATGAAGTGCAATTTTAGTAGTAATAGACCTAGTGAGGGGATTGTGACTTTGAGCGTTCAAGTCATTAATAAGAGTAACACGTTTTAAATATCTTGGATCTATTATTCAGAGTGATGGTGACCACAGATATTAGAAAGTCTGGGAAGCGACCATTGTGGATTGGAGAGGTTATATGGGCTGAGTTGAATGCAGCTTGGGGCAGCGAAGAGTACAGTAAGAGGAGGGATCAAAATCGACAGAACAGAGCTTCTGATGTTGGTGGGTTGGGTAGTTCACTTCATATAGGCAACTCTTTTCCACATACTGAGCACAGGCGTCGTTTGGTAATGAATTTTAGGATTGTGGTGGCGATGATGGAGTTGTGATCGGAAGGGGAGGGAGGAGGAAGAACTTCTTCAGAGTCTTGATCTCCCATAGTAGCTCTGATACCATGAAAGCAGATCAGAGAAAGAAGGAAAGAACAGAGAAAGAAGAAGAAACGGGAAGCAGAGCAGAGAGAGAATAAAAGCTAATTGTATTTCCTTAATGAGATATTACATGGTTTTATAATATATAGCCTTAGGTACAGGTATCTTTGTAATAACAGCAAAGTTGTAAATCATGAATAACCGTATATCCTCTAATAAGTATTACACAAAATCTATGAAAATTTTAATATTTATTTTAATTAAATTTGCATAATGGTTTAACATTTAATGAACAAATGAAATATAATTTTAAATATGGTAACATGGGTTTATGTGTTAGGTGTCATTATAATTACTGATTGATATGTCATCAAAATGGTCTTGATTAAACATGAATCTCAAAGCATATGCAAGCTGAAAACTTTAGAAATTAAATGTGGAACCATTCGAACTCCAATTTTAGAAAACTTATAATTAAATTGAACTTGTCATCGAGATGAACCCAACAACACCAAAATCGGTCCAATTCTTGGACCGAGCCCAAATGGGCCCAAATCAAGGGACAAAGCATTTTTGAAAGCTTAAAAGCATAAATTGGATAATCAAATGATCTCCAAATATAGCATGCCTAAATTCAAATTGAGCTGCCCGTTGGGACTAATCTAATGAGCATAAGATCGCTTAATTATAACATCACTAAGGCACTTAAATGTTGCATAAACACTCTATGATTGAATGAATAAATATGAGTCATCCGATGGAGCACTCTGAATTTGCTTTTGATCTTCTATATATTTATGGAATATGCTACTCTAAAAAATCTATAAATAAATCTCCCTTTCCCACATGAAAGGGGGGCTTTGACCTTTAAAAGCTTAGACCTTAGGCTAGAGATTAAGAGAGCTATGAGACTTAAAGCATGGCGGAGCTCCACACCAACGCCACTGCCAGCGAACCCTCACGACCAGGCCACCGCTGCTGATCCTTTACCTTATAATATTTATCATACCTCTATCCGGCCACCATAGTCAGGTCTACTTCTGACCACCATCGCTTGATTTTGGTTCTTCCAACCACCGTTGTCCATTGACTATAGTCCCTCTAACATTCGTCCCCAGCCAACTATAGTCCCTCCAACTTCTGTTGCTCACAGACTACTATCCCTCCGACATATATCTTTCGCTCCTTGATTACGGCCCCTCCGATCTCCCTCACAAGCCGACTACGATCCCTCCGACCTCTGTCCCATAATTTTACTGCTTTACTATTATAGATTACTAGTTTACTACCAATGTACGAATTTACTATTAATGTCACCGATTTTACTAATTATACTGCTATAGATATGAATATTACTCGATACTACTATTGATTCTCTGTACTAATTAATAATATTGATTCATCGTATTTATATTGAGCATATGATTAATATACTTATTTGATACTTATATAGAATAACTGGATAAAATGTTTACATTATTATAGAGTTTTACTATAACAATATGATTCTAACAGTCTTTACTGATGCTTTGATTTTATCATTTTATATGATTTATTTACTAATTGATAGTCCTAATACGACAAATGTTTTATTGATTTGACACCCGTATTGATTTACTAGTTTGCCCACTATACTTTTTTATTTTCTTTCGTACTATACTATTTTATTGATTATAAACTTTACTACTTCATATGTGTTTTATTTTTTTTGCATTAATTCAAGATCATATAACTACTTCTGCTACGAATTAACCAACGACATTCATATTGCTTCTTTGTCGTGCTTTGAGTTAGTTATAAAATTTGATTATTTTCTAGGCACTTAAGCTCATTATATTTGATTAAATGATTTCATGTCAATGCAAGGGAGCAAAAATGTGAAAATTATTAGGAATCTTCATATTTAGGTTCTTATTATTTTAGTTATTTTTTATACTCAGAATAAAGTAATTGTGATATTATTGTATAGATTTAGAATATTATACATAGAAAATGAATACATATGTATATATTAATATTTTAATTTCTTTTTTTATTTTTACTAGCTTTATATTGAAAAAAATTAGATAGCTCTAGTTATTATATATTAAATATAAAAAAATTATTTCAAATTAGATTTAGGGCATCACACGATCGTCATCATATTAAATATAAAAAAATTTATTTCAAATTAGATTTTATCACACGATCGTCATCACCCACCAACTATGATCCCTTCGAGCTCTACAACAACACTTGGCAATAACCAACAAATAAAATAAAGGCCAAGCCTGCAAAAATAAAACTAACCAAAAAGTGCATATTTACAGCATTAAACTGACCCTGCTATCCAAAAGCTTGCTCCTTACCATTTCCCTAGAATGAAAATGAAAGCAAAACAAAAAATGAGCTAACAAGACTCAGTAGGCAAATTAATAATTTAAATCAAAAGACTGAAAATACAATGCTACAATAATAAACTGAAGTACTCCAAAAAAATTAAAACTGAAACGAAAGCTAAAACTAAATTTCAAATATTATTTAAGTGCAATTAGATAACTTTAAAAGCTGTATTGAAATTGATTAAATTATAAAATATAATAATTCATAGTGATTATCATAATGGCTTTCAAGACCAAATTTCATACATATTCATTAAAAAAAAATATTCAATTTGGATTCATGCCGGGTAGGTCGACTATGGAAGCCATACATTTATTAAGAGGTTTGATGGAGAAATATAGGGAAAATAAGGAGGACCTACATATGATATTTATTGATTTAGAAAAAGCATATGATAAAGTTCCAAGAGAAGTGCGTTGTATTCATTAAAAAAATTGATATATATAGCCCACTAACTTCAGCATAATAGAATCTCATCTCGGTCTCTCATTGACGCCGACATAATAAAATCCCACCTTAGCCACCCACTGGCCATAACAGAATCTCACCTCAGTCACCCACTATCCCTGTCCCAATATAATCCCACCTCGATTTCTCACTAGCCCGGCGTAATAATAGATTACATCATCTCACATTTCTTTCACGATTGTACATATTTTTTTATGCATTTCATTAATTAAAACATAATTAAACTCAATTCATAAATTACAAAAATGTCTTAATGTTATGCAATAGAAATACTACTGAGAAAAAATGTGAGATCCTACACTTGAGGAAGAAGCACTTCCTCATGGATCTTGAAAGAGGAGGAGGAGGGAGAGGGGAGAGAGAGGAAAAAGATGAGCCAAATTCTACAAATCTTTATTTCTCTTGGCTACTTTCCTAATACAAGCTAAAGCCTAATAATAGGCACCTACGAGCTACACAAAAGCAACACAAAATGGCCACATATGCCAAAACAAGAAACCTGAAACAAAAGCAATCCTAAATCTAGAAACAAATATCTAACAATCTCCACATTGGGCCTAGATTTACAAAAATAAAAAGATAACAACTGTTCTTAAAGAACAGCCAAAGAATGAGCTTGTCGGTCTCCTTCGCCAAAAGCGTCCACCGACAGTCTAGCTCCACCTCCCGACAGATCTCTTGTCGCACCGCACGACCTCGCACCTCCAAGCGCCCCGCACTTTCAACACTGCTCTCCAAGAACAGCCGACACTACCTCAGTGTATCCCGAACTCCACCTGAAGTCCAAAACTCCACCACAAAGAAGATCTAATCTCTTCTTTAAAAATCTGAACCGATATTCAAATCAAGAACAAGTCTTACTTCCGAGCTAGTCAAGACCGATCAAAACTTGATTCAAGATCAAGCAAAAAATTCGGCCTCGACAGCTTCCATGCCTCCGCTCTTGTTCGCCTTCGTCAAACTTGCTAGACAATTGCCGATGTCACCATGACATCACCTTTTGCATAATCTTAATCAAATCCAAGATCAAGAGTCTCTTCACACTCAATTGCACGCCTTCTAATCAAGAGGCCCATGTGTAATTCGGCCTGCAGAAGCTATTGGCCGAATTAAGCTCTCCCCTCCGTTCAACTCCTCACGCAAGCCAAAACGAGCGAACGTCCACCTCAGCCAAATATCCAGCCTTCTTGCGGCAGGTTTCACCAGCCTGTTCGGCCGATCCAAACTCCCGATCAAGAAGCCACGGGCACTGCTCCGGACCACCTTCGTCCAAGATCCGTATGTGGAAACCACGCCTAACCAAGTACGTCTTGATTCTGCTTTTCTGCTTTGTTTGCCTCCGAATCAGGCAAACCGGCCTCCCTCCGATCCGTCTGCGTGCCTCCGGTAACCCCGTCGGATGCGCTCCCTTCGTCGAGCCAAAAAAAATCCGATCGGACTCTCCGACCCGATCCCGACCTCAACGCCGAGCCGAAGTCGCCTCCGATCACGGCACCAAGCCACCGCCGATGTTACCTCCTTCCGTTTCTTTAGACAAGAAACCTTCTCTCCTCCGCCTCGAGATCACCACCACCGTGGCTCTGATACCAGATGTTAGATCCTTCACTTGAGGAAGAAGCACTTCCTCATGGATATTGAAAGAGGAGGAGGAGGGAGAGGGGAGAGGGAGGAAAACGGTAATAAATCTCACTTGATTTTTCTAACTCCTATCGTGTAATGTGCTCTATATGGTGTATATTTTAATCGACTATAAACACTAGTAAAATTATTTTAACTGGATCAGGCCTCATGCTTATTTTCCTTTTCAGGACTTTTCACGTAAAAATTTTTGTATCTCTTATGACTCTTATATTACTCTCTCTTATATGTCTATATGCGATCTTCATATAATACTTGGACGCTAAAATCTATTTTCTCTAGTGCAGCGAATGTTCAAGGGCGCAACACTAATAAAATTATATTAATACAACTAATTATGTCATATGTTAAATCACAATAAGAATGTATCAGGAAAGATAAAATGAGTATTCACTTGAAGATGATAAAAAAAATAACCTACATAACATAACATAAAATTTAACATATTAATGCAAAATAGTTTAACATTTTCCTAATGCCTCATTATACCTCAAATTCCACCTATATCTCCCATTTTTCATATGTCTTCATATGCATTGACGTGTACATATTTTTCCAAAGCCCTCTATGACTCCACTCCTATTTATACCTCCACTCAATCATCTCACATCCATTCAAGCGTATCAACGCAAAGATGGAGGAATTATATGTGTGCCCTGATTCTTATAACTCTGCTTATATTACTCATAAATATGTACAACTATTATATATACTTCCTCCTTTCCTCTCATCCTCAATGTATCCTCCAACAAATAAACTTAACATATCAGTCTCATCGCATGAACATAAAAACATCAACGTATTCAACATGTAATTGCAATATTTAACCTGATACAAGAGTATATGAAATTTCACAGGTACAATAAAATAGTAGCGCATATGGGATAAACTTATATACACACTCAACAATGACAAATTAGAAAATCATTTATGAATAATAATCATAATATCATTTTAAAATATTTATTGTTATGTAGAAATTTTTATAAATGTCAATAGACTCACATAAATACTTAAAAATGATGCATAGCTTAACATATTCGATGAAAATTTATATCTTTCTTGTCAATATAAGTAAAATAATATATTATATCACATAGCAAAAGTAACAGCGTGAAACTTCCTAAACCCTCATTAGTTTGTGTTTGTGTAAACCCAAATCAAATAAAATAACAAAAATAACCCCAAAAGCAATGAAACAAAATTCTAAAGTAGGATATAGGTAACCTATCTAGAGTCGGAAAATTTTCTTAACTAGCCCATCGCACGAAATTGGCTCTAAGACCTTCAAATTCAACTTGATATATTTAAAATTCCTCTCCTCTCTCTAACTGGCATCCTCAAAATGAGAAATAAACTTTCGTAAATGGATTTTGATATTTATAGACCCAACATCATAGTGCTACCTTTTTAAGTACTTCAGCATTCGCACTAGAAGTTTCCAAACACCCAGATAGAAAGCTTAGCGTCACAGTGCTCCCAAATAAAATTTCAATGCCAAATAGACACTTCAGCGTCGCAACACCAACTATTCAGTGCCATAGCACTCCCCACTGCTCATAGACTAATAAAGAAAGCAATCCCACAAAATTACAACTACAGTGTTGCTAGGGGGAATTTTTCGAATTAGCATATTCCTTTCAAATTTAAACCACGGCCTTCCATGACTAACTAAACATATATATAATTTGTAGAATTTATCATGCACTCAATGAACCCATAGTTCTTCCCTGGTTCAATTCGGGTCATCACAGATAGATTTAACGCTATAGAAATGATCATTACACTGTCTTGACTCATTCACACCTATATACACTCAACTTCAATCACGACTAGCAGAAACTTGAATGGAATACAGCATTGTGAACTAAGCTATCACAGCCTCTATCTAATCCCAAAATTCTAAAGAGTAGATCATAATAATTGAGAACAGCACCCATAATTATGATTATGCTGGAAGATTTCTTTTTCTACAGTATAAAACTAATTTATAACGCGAAAAATGTTTCTGTGAAAATGATGCTTGCACCAAGTTAGGCAAACAATTTCTATAATATTGAATTTCACATAGTCCCACATCAGACAAAAGACAATAATTGCAATTTATATGGTTTCACTTTCTACAAAAAAAAAAAACAGCTAAAGCTAATGGATACAGAAAGTCACTTTCAGGAATTTAAGAGAGAAATAAAAGTTCTCATAGTTTTATATGAATTTCTTTTTTTTAAGATTGTTGTCCTATGAACATATATAATATTCATTTTTCCACTAAGATAATATTTATATATTAACTATATCATTTTTTGTATAGGTCCTAATTGCAGCTGGAACTGACTCTTCATCTGGAGCAATGGAATGGGCACTGTCCCTTCTCCTAAATCATCCCAAAACATTACAAAATGCAAGAGACGAGATAGACTTTCATGTAGGCCATGACCGTTTGATCGCAGATTCAGATCTTCCTCATCTTCACTATCTCCAAAACATAATTAAGGAAACACTTAGACTATATCCAGCTGGTCCTCTCTTAATCCCGCATCAGTCATCAGCAGATTGCACTGTAGAAGGCTACAACATTGCAAGTGGAACCATGTTGCTGATAAATGTTTATGCGATTCAGAGAGATCCAAAGCTATGGAACGAAGCAGAAAGTTTCAAACCCGAGAGATTCGATGAAGGAGAAGGATCAGAAGGTTTTCAATTCTTTCCATTTGGTTCGGGAAGAAGAAAGTGCCCGGGAGAAGTTATGGCAAATAGAATGATGGGCTTGACATTGGGAGCTCTAGTTCAGTGTTTCGAGTGGGAGAGAGTTGGGGAAGAAATGGTTGATTTGACTGAAGGAGAAGGGCTTACTCTACCTAAGTTAGTTCCTTTGGAATTGAAGTATAAGCCTCGGGAGGTTATGATGAATGTTCTATCACAACTTTGATCGATCAGCTTCCATGACGAATATACATATATATGCATGTGTTCATAAACTATATAGCTTTATTGATAGCTAGCTAGTGTGTAAGATTTTGTTTGGGACGGTTTTCTTACTGCTTCTTACCAAACGAAGCCTAAGTGTGTTGATTGTATGGAGTTATGCATGAGATCATAAACAAATACTGCGTTTCTATGTTTTTATGCTATAACTCAGTTGTTTCTTACGGTTGGCTTCTTTAGAACTTCATAAGAAAGTGTGTTCCAGCTTCTAAACATGAAAAATGTAAAACAGGAGGTTGTAAGATCATGTATTTTTGCTGGGTTGAGCTAGCTAATAATTGCCCTTATTATTGTTCTTGTTGTGTGATGAAATATTGAGATTTTATTTGGGAAGATTTTCTTATTATTCCATAAAACAGCTTTTTAGAAATCTACTTTAAAAAGTGATAAGAAATCCATCCCAAACGAAGCCTTTTTATTATTTGGATGGACGCTGCTTGATCTACTTATAGCCTTATTAGGATATGACCGTGGGTTTATTGAAGAGTAATTCTGATTATTCCTGTTGTTTGATCTGATGGATGATGCTTAATTGCCTTTAGTTTCATGTGCAAATTATCTTAATCATTGCTATATCAAATTATAAAAGATTTAATTAGAATATTTGACATTTGTAATAAAATTATTCCTAAAATAATATAATACATATTAGATTTTTATAAACTCAAATAAATCAACTAATGAAAATATAGCCTACATTTGGGACAGCTTTTCTTATGCTTTTAAAAAAAAAATTAGCACTAAAATTTATTTCTTGAACTAAAAAGTTTTCTACTAAAAATTATTTTAGAACCGAAGCCTAAGGCCAACAATTTCTAACAACAGTTTAAAAAACACAAACAATGCTTCTAAAATTGCTGCAAGAGCTATCCTTTTTATTGAAAAAAAATTAAAAAAAAAAAAAATATTAACCATGCATCTAATACTGAGGGACGATGTTGCCCCGCCCGCCCCGCCTCCCATATCGCAACCCGCCAAACGACCGTCCCCCTCGCCCACCCCCCATCGACGGCGTTCGCTGCCGATTCCCCTCTCCGGAGAACCCACCACCATTCTCTACCCCACTTTCCACTGTTCCCTTTCTATGCAAAAACTGAACCAAACTATCCAACGCCACATCTACATCCTCACTTCTCATCAGCTCCTCCCCAACTTCCGCCGGCGTCACCTTCACCTCCTCCAATAATCCTTCAATTTCCCTAAATCTCCAATGCTCATTAATTTCATGGTGGTTCCAAGCCAGAATCTTGAACCCCGAAGCCCTGCAGTAGCCCATCGGCAGACACATGTCGACTCGGCCCGGTTGAAGGAGGACAGAGTCGACCCGGTCCTTCTTCTTCGCCGTGAAAACGAGCACCCGGTCCTCCCCTGTGCTCGCCCACATCCAATCCACAAATCCCAGAAACCAGGACAGAGAAAAGTCGCCATCTTTACCACTCGGTTTTCTGAAACAATCTATGTCCTCCACAACAAGCATTGATCGGCTTGACATCCCCAGCAATAGCAGCTTGATCCCTGAATTCCACTGCAGCTCCTTTATGTTCAAATCATAGATGTCCAGCCGGAGAAACTTCGCCATGGCGGCAATCATGCTTGATTTACCGGTCCCAGACGGACCATAAAGCAAGTAGCTTCGCGTCCATGGCTTTCCCTTCTCTTTATACCACTCCTTACTCTTCGAAAACCTGGAGAGGTCCTCCACTATCCTCTGCTTCAACTCAGAATCCATGGCTAATGTTTCGAATGTCGCAGGGTGAAGCAGCTCCTCCGGCGGAAGAAGCCAGTAGCAGCCTTTGTTGGTGTAGATCTTCAGCGATCGATCAGCCGCTCGAATGCGTTCGGACTCGTCCAGTATATAACGGAGATAGGAGTTCAAAGCCGTGTTTTTGTGATTCTTGTGGAAACAGAGTTCGAAAAATTGGATTTTTTGAGGAACTCGCTTCGGCTGCCCGTCGAAGTAGACGGTGTGGAAATTGTTCCGGCTAAGGAGGCGCCACCGGAACTCGATGCCATTGAAGACGTCGAGAAATTCCTGTTCGTTTACGAGGGAGAGGGTGATGGTAGTGGCGTCTCTGTGTTTGGTGGCTTTAAATTTGGAGGTGCAGGAGGAGATGATTGAGCTGAGGTAGGTTTTGCATGCGAGGAAGAGATGGGGTTCGGATTCGAGGATGAGGATGGTTTGGTCGGTGGAAAGAGCGGAGCGGAGGGTGAGGAGAGAAGAGGAGATTCGAGTTTGTAGTTGGCGGGGAAAGAAGGTGCTGACGAAGGTGCGGGCGATCATGGCAGAGGCCGCCACGGAGGAAGCGATGGTGAGGAAACTGCGTGATGTTGCGTTTGCTTTCGTTTGGGATTCCATTTCAACTTTTTTTTTCCCTGAAAATTTTGAATGCCGAAGCAAAGAAGAGGTTCGACCAAAACTTCACAATATAGTTCGTAATTGTTATCAACTGAATTCTCTCTCTCTCTCTCTCTGGTCTTTCACTCTCAATTTACAGAGGAAACTACCATTCATGTACTCTTCATCTTCTCTCTCCTCGCCCTTCCCCCTTCTCTTTTTTTTTTTGGACATTTAGGTCATTTAAGACAAACTCACACACACAACGCATACACATAGACTCGAACCCTGAACCTCTTAGTTGAAAGCCAAAGCTCTTAACCAATAGGCCAAGGAGAGTTGTCTTCCCCCTTCTCTCGCTCTCTCAATTTCCGATGGCTTCCGTTTTTCTAAGCTTCGTTAATGAGTCAATACCCTTTTTTTCTTTTTCTAAGTCTCGTGCAAAGACTTTTAATGTTCTTAATGACTAAGCTTATTTCTGAAGGCGTAGAAAGTCTTCAGTCATGCACGAATAAAATTTTAGTTTTGCTTGTTCAGCACGGTGTTTATCTGTACAGTAGTTTTTTATTGGGTTATTAAAGAAAAGGTTAAAATAACATGTAATATTTAAGCTTTTTTTATTTTTTTTTTATGTAATATTTAAGCTTGATTTATTAACGAATCTAATGTTAATGGGTCTATTAAGAGGTGCAAATAAATCAAGTCGAGCTCGAGTCACCCATGACTCTAACTTGATCTTGATTAATTAAACGATTTTGAGCTCGAGCTTTATTTTATGAGTTTGAGTCGGCTCACGATTCAGCTTGTATATTATAAAAGTGAGAGAATAATTATTATAATAAAATGATAATAATAATAATAAATAGAATAAAAAAATAAAGAATCACTTAGTATTAAAAAAATGAGATATTATTTTTCAATATTTTTAATAATTATGTACTTAAAATTAAGAATGCTAATATATTTGCTTTGTTTTAAATCAACATTTTAGGGTTGGCTCAAGCAAGAGCCATTTATCTAATGGAACTCGATCGGACTCATGAGTCAGCTTAACTCACTTACACTTCATTTATGCCTAAGCTAGTAATTTATATTATTAGGTCGTCTATTCTTTTTTTTTTTTTTTAATTCTCTGTTCATTGTTCCAAATGTTTGATTTCTCACTATTATATTTATATATAACTCAATAATTATGATATGTAATTTATCTGGTGGATCTATTTGTTCGTAAGAGGGAAAGACTTGAATCTTGACTTGAAATTGAAGAGTTTTGAGTACTGAATAATTCTAGAGCCCTTTGTAATTTCCGACGTCAACAATCACTGACAACGACCAATGCCCTCCCACCCCATCATCCAACTACTATCTTCTCAATACCGTCACCCAACTATCATTGCATAGTCGACGTCTCATAACCACCTTCATCCCCATCCACCATCTTTCTGGCAATCTCTATTGTATGCACACGAGATCAAGTTATAGGGCTGCAAGCGAACCAAACGTTCGACGAGCTACTCGTTGTTCGGTTCGATCAAAGCTCATTTGTGATCGTTTAATTAACTAAACAAACAAACTTGAACAATATTTTAAATACTCGATTCTTAAATAAACAAACTTGAACATGAATGCGTTCGGCTCATTTATTTTCGCGAACAACATCATTTGAAGTTCGTGAACAAGCTCGTCATTAAGCTCGATTCATGTTCGATTTTGAACTAGTGAATAAGCTCGATAAAACTAATTAATATTTGACTATATAATTAATAAATATAAATAAGCATTGCCTTTGTTACATAGACTATTGCTTTTATTATAAATGTGTTTGTTCATAAATATGTTAATGAACATATTTGTTTGATAGTTAAAAAAATTCGTTAAATATGTTCGCGAACAAGCTCGATAAGCACTAAACGAACGAACATGAACTGAACATGAACCGAACATGAACACTCATTAATTTAAATGAACCAAACATGAACACAAACAATAAAGCTCGAACAAACATGAACCAAACTTGAACAAGCTGATATTAAATGAACACAAACATGAACACTCACATACTCAGCTCGGCTCGGTTCGTTTGCAACCCTAAGTTAGGGTTTACAACATTGTAATCCCAACTTCTCTGAATTAAGGAAAATGAATTTGTTTGATCTTGCTTAAGTTATGAATTATTTCTACAAGATTAGGCGCTTTTTTTAATGTAAAAATTTTTAATGCCAAAACTAACAATCTATGATACAATCTCCAAATTAGCTCTTCGGTGTTAGAAGAAGCTACGATCCCCTAACTACACCTCGTCAGTGAAGCTATTATCCACCTCTTCGGTCAACACTCTTGCATGCCATCTATTTTTGAAATCTATTTTAAATGAAAGTTCTTGATTAGCTTATCATAACTTTCTAATGCCGAGACTCCATCAAATTTCATGAGTATGGTGATATCAATAAAACTAAATAATCATCTTTATTTCTGTTGCGAACTAGAACATTTACGGCGGTAGAGAGATATAGAGTTTAGCGTCCCAAGTTTTGTACGAATATACAACACAGACAAATAAGAGAGAGGAGTGTGAGAGTCATAAGACACGCTATGATTTTTATGTGAAAAATTTTGAAAAAGGGAAGAACCGTAGGATTTAACCCAGTTAAAATGATTACACTAGTGTTTGTAGTCGATTATAAATTGTGCCCTTCCGCAACGGGAAGGCATGGGCTCAAAGTATCATATTGAGCATATTACATTGTTAGGGTTGAAAGAATCTAATGATAAGGAAGCCATTTTTAAGAGAACGTTGGCATGATCATTTGGTTGGTAGGCATGTATGGAGAACAGAAAGACTATAGTCGACGGGCGATAGTGATTGGAGAGATCGTACTCGAAGGGCGGCGGTGGTTGGAGTGACCGTAGTCATCGGGCGACGGAGGTCAAAGGTTCCATAGTCGGCATGAGATGGTGGTCGGAAGGATCGTAGTCGAAAGACGACAGTGAAAGACGACAGTGGTCAGAGGGACCGCAGTCAACAAGCGATAGAATTCTGAAGGACTATAGTCGACGGGTGGCGAATGTTAGAGGGATCGTAGTCAAAAGGTGATGCAGGCCGGAGGAACCATAATCAGCGGGCCTAATCGGGTCAAAATTTAAGGATGCATCAATTTCATAATTTAAAATAACATTTTATAATATTCCCATTAAAAAATAATCTCAACCACTAAATTTCAGTTAAACCTCTACATGATAGCTCACATCGACAATCATGATAGTCATCAATGACAATGAAAGTCTCATTAATGTCAAAGCATATCCTTACATCCGCTTAGAGGTTTAAACGAGTCGAGTTGAGATTAAGTTATGCTTAACTCAAGCTCGAGTTGTAGGCCAAATCGCGAGCTCCTGCTCAAGCTCAACTCGTGCCAATAGATGCGAGCTCACAAGTCAGCATGTGAGTCATAAGAAGAACGGGCCGACATGATTCCGCCTTCCGCTTTCGCGGTTCTGCCTTCCGCGGTTCCGCCTTCTGCCTATTCGAGCCGCTTGATGAGTCAACGAGTCCAGCAACAACTCAATCGAACTTGAGATTGATTACTCAACGAGCTCAACACTCGATAAACTCAGCTAGTGAACTCGTTACCTAATCGTATTTGAGCAGACTCATGAGTCAGTTGGACTCGTTTACACCTCTATATGCGCTGTAAAAAAAAATTGTGACTATTTGAAATTTTATTTTTAGTAAATTTTGCTTTTTTATAAAATTATCCAAAGCAATTGCCAGCCGCTATTAATCTTCTCATAATAACAAATTAAAACAAAAAAAGAGAAACCTGATTGATGTACTCATAATCTTACACAAGTCTGCTATTGCAGCTTCCCCCTATATATAACCGAAGCCGTCGAAGACCTCTCTGCACTTTAGCTTATGCAAGCTCGAGAGATAAACAAAAACACATACGGGAGAGAGAGAGAGAGAGAGAGAGGCAGAGAGGGGCAAAAAAAGAGATCAGGCCGGGAGTTCTAATATTAGCCTGTAAGAAGCTTAGGGCTTGGAGCTCGCCGGAGATATGGCGGCGCTATAGCCGTGTTGAAGGAAATGGCGGGTGCCCACATGTCAGCGCCGTTGCTTTCCGCTATTGTTACTGTGATCGAAACAGGAACTAAACAAAGTCCTCTCTTTCTTAAATGCCCTTCTCCTCCTCTCGAATCAGGCTCCATTGCTGAATCTGTCTCTGCTTCCATGTACGCAGAGCTCAGCAGCTGTCAATGAAAACATGAAGCATGAAACGGATGACTATTTCCTTCCAAAACAAACTTTTTTTTTAGAATGATTGAGAATCCGTTTTAAATGGACTCGTTTATTTTATTCTAGTTCTTGACAGTGCCAAGTAACTGGTGAATCGAAACAGAGATAGAGGGAGAGAAGGAGCTAGACCTGCACTTGGTCATGAAGAAACCTGATGTATCCGAAAGTTTCCTGAAGTACAGAAGCCGTATCTGACTGAAATCAGAGAAAAAAAAAAGGTTAAGAACATGTACTGCTTAAAGTTCCAATCTTTGTGCCTCTAGAGAGGAAAAAATTACATTTTTTTTTTTTAATTCTTCCAATACGCAGATGAAAAACCACGCACCTTGCCCATAGGAGAGACAAGTTGCTGCAGAGCTCTGACCTGCGACCCCAGCTTCTCCCTCCCCATCTGATAACAATCTCCGCATTTCATTCAATAAGATAATTTTCTCCTCAAGAGTAATGTATTCTAAAAATTCAATTAAAACAGAAAATTGAAGCTCGCCTGAACAGCTCTGGAAACAGGGGAAGCCTCTGACTCTGCCTTCTTGCGCTTGCTACAAGCCGAAACAGCAGAACCAACCCTCCCACACCTTCCTCCTCCTCTTCCGATCTCGATGGCTGACATTGGTTTCTTCTCTTGCACAATAACAAAAATTAGCAAACTTTTCAATTGAAGGGAAGCAGCAGAAGAACATACCCTTCTGTTTCTGGGCTTGCAGTTCTCATCAATCGGGGTAGGCGAAATGGAAAGTACCCCTCCATTGTCACAGACTTCTTCTTCTCCACCAAAACAGAGCATTCGAACGGTTGATGATGAAGAAGAAACAGGAAGAAAACGATTAGGCGGAAAGAAGACAAAGCCAGACTCCTCTGCTTTGCCGCTTACGACCTCTCCGTTATCATCTTCCTCAATTAATAACTCCATGAAACTGCCTTTAAATTCTTCGGCATCCTCAGATTCTCTTCCTCCGTCTCTAGCGATGCATTTCTCCATTTTTTCATTAGCCATTGAATCAGAATGGAGGGCACTGATTCGACGTTAACTCGCGAGCTTCGGAAATCTCGGTAGGAAACGGAGAGTGAAGTACGGCTACTTTTCCTGCGTTTTTATCTTGTTCTTCTGCCTCGAAGCTGATAAAATTTGCGATTTTATCGAGGACGGGGTAGCCGTTGATGAAGGAATTGATTGTCATGATCAAGGCTTCCCCGACGCTCCTTTCAAATCGTATGAGTGGGACGGTCGATGGGCTTTGTACGGGTGGGCCGTTCTCCGGACCGGTCAAAGCCGCTGACCCAGCCCAATAATGCCTTGTTTATCTGCATGGAAATGGGAATTAGGAAGACTATTTGGTTGGTTGGCTTTCAAAAGAAATTCTTTCATCGTTATAGATTAAGATTTTATTTGTGCTGATTTTTTTTTATTGTTTCTTAAAATAATTTTTTAATATAAAAATTAAAAATTTATATTACAAAATTTATTTAAGAAGCATAAAAAAGTCTTCCCAAATAAAACTAATATTTTATTTGGGATAACCTTTTTATTGATTATTTAAGTAATTTTTTAGTACACAAATTTTAATTTTTATACTAAAAAGATGTTTTAAGAAGCAATAAGAAAGCCGTACTTTTGGGAATATGTGACACGATATAAGTCAAAAGAAGAGTCAAGCAATGAGTACACGTCTTCTGTTTGTAGGTTTGACATTCCCTTTAGCGAAGAAGAAAGTACTATACATCTTCAATGCCAGTGGTGTGAGACAACGAGTTTGGAAAGTAAACTCTTTCAATATATCCTATTCACTTTTAATTTGTTTGTTTAGTTAATTAAACGATCGCAAACAAACTTTAATCAAATCGTACAACGAGTAGCTTGTCGAATGCTTGGTTCATTTACATCCCTAATGTAAATGCAACCATTATGGCTCACATTGATATACTTAATTTTATTGTAAGCTAATGGAAACTACCAACCATTTTTTTTATTGAGGATTGAGGATGTGAGAATTCTTAATAGATTTATATAAAACCTCATGTTATTTGATTTTTAAATAAAAAATAATTAGCCTAATCTTATATCAAAATTCATAATATTACTATCACAATAAGAAATAGTTGCTTAGTAAAATATAATAGTAAAATGTTGTTTTATAAATGATTTCAAAAAACTCTCACATAATTTCAATTTGAGTTTTTTTTTTAAATAAAGTAAATTATTATCTTTAATTACTATTTTTAAAATTATTATCCAATTATACAAAAAGACCAAACTAAATAAAATTTATCAAAATAGCTCAAAATTAAATGAGCTAAATGGAGTTCACCATTTCCCCTCGATTTTACTCTTTTATTATCTTCTCAAGGTTAAATCTCATAAATTTAGTTTTAACATAACATTTCAAGTATTCAAGCTCGATGTTGTATGTACTAGATCATCTCATGATCCATTTAGTCTTGTGTTAATCTCAACATTTTCAGTTTGTCATTGATTATATTTTTAGACTTAAATCAATATATAATGTCGGTTGTTGAACCGGCTTATCATCGGCTTTTACGCTCTATCAATAACCTCTTGCTTCCACCATCATCACTTGGAACCATCTCATGTGTTGCGACTACACCTATGGTAAGCTTGTGTTGCTCATGTCCTTAATGGCTTTCTAATCCATTTGTTACCATTATTCACTTATCCCAACCTTGTAATCTTTACTTGATGATTTATCTACCATCTATGTAACACCACAAGATCAATTTTTTTTTAAAGAATTGTCTATTTTAATCTCTTAATTAATCAACCAGATCTTCTTTGAATTCATCAATATAAATCAATCAAGCAAAAGCAACTAAAAATTATATACATCAAAATATAAAATTATATTTATCCTCCAAAATTTATCTACATTAGTCAAGAGTTTAATCAATGCATTCACCAGTCTATTTTTTAGCTCTTGACTACAGACTAATAAAACTAAAAATATATAAAAACAAAATAAAACTTGATTTTCATATTTGCTTCACTCTAGTGGATCCTAAATCACAAAGTAAGCTAACAACTCAGTAAGTTACAACTGAAATCAATTCAAGGCAGTATGAACTGTTTGTATGTAATCATTCAATTACTATCATTATGAATATAACTATAAAAGCATGCAACAATTAATGAAACATAAAACAAAAAATAATTGATCTAATATGAGACTAATAATATGAAATCGACATCTTCCCCCAACTACCATTGAAATTGGATTAATGAATGGATTAGGGCTTACAAGAGCGCATAACTTTTATATGCAAACAATAAGAAGGGCGAAATCACAATGCATGACCTACTTGAAATAATTCTACTATATAGACTAAACATTAGGTTCAAATATGAAACTAAATGAGTCTCATAAGCCTAGTCTCTAGAATCTTCCTTAAATGTGCATAAATATAATATATTTATAATTTTTTTAGAAAAGGAAATATAATCTTCTTCTTCTTGCTTGGGTCCCCCTCTTAAGAGAAATGATGGGCTATTTATAGTTTTTTGAGGATAGCATGACCCGTAAATAGGAGGAGGATCAAGGACAAATATGTAGTGTTTTGCATGGACGACCGATATTGAATCCCTTGATCGTAAACCGTTCGTCAGACACTTGAAGGTCTTAATGATATCAGAATTCGACGATCTTGGGCTCGTTGGATTTGTCTCGTCGAGCCACTTGATTCGACTATAAGCATGTCAAGTTTGGAAACCGTTTGGTAACCCAAATTATGGTTTGAACCTTCCAACAGTGCTTCGGTTCTTCAATTCAAACCCATTTGGGCTCGGATTCGTGCCCAATCAAGATAATTTTTTGATGACATATCACATCTACTTATATATTGAAATATTTCATTAGAATCATATCCTTTGATTTTTATATTTCTAAATCGTTTATGTAAATATTTTGATATTTCTTATAACATAATTTTATATGAATCCTAAATCTTCACATATAGTTAAGATGTTGAATATTCTCCACAATGTTGTAAATTTTTTATCATACAACAATAATTAATGTTAAATAACGGGTAATAATAAAATAATGAATTAATGTGACCAAAAAAGAGACCTAGCCCCACTTTAAGGAATTTTTATTCTGTCAAGTTACCTGATGTAGCTCTACGTCAAGTAGCCAATAATATGTCGCCACGTGCTCTTACTCTTTACCACGCGGCCCGACGACCCGACTCAGACCGAATCCGGGATTACTATGTTCGCGTATTGCTCGGTATTTGCTTGATATTGCTAGGTATTAGTCGGTATTGCTTGGCAATACCGAGCAATACCGAGTAATACCTAAAAGAACTCGATATTGCTCGGTATTGCTCTTCACATAATGATACTTTTCATTTTTGTCGAGCAAAATCGACCAATACCGAGCTATACGCAAACTCCCGGGTCCGTTCCGGGTCGGGTTGTCGGTCCGCGCGGTAAAAAATAAGAGCACGTAGCGACATATTATTGACTACCTGACGTAGAGCTACATCAGGTAAGCTGACGGAATAAAAATTCCACTTTAAGGGGCTGCTTGGCAACGAAATTTATGCCCAATTCGAGCAGGGTTTTACGCTAAATCCTACCAACATGATTTTATGGCGTCGTTGGAAGTTGCTGCCAAACATGATTTAAGGCGGAATAAATCCTCTGTCTCATCATTTTTGCGGTAAATCCCTGATTTACTAAATCCTACAATTCAGTGGATTTAACATTTTATCGTGTGGTAGGGGGAGTGCGAGAGCGAACAGAGGATAGTTGGAATACCTGGTGGCTCCTAGCGTTAAGTTGCTACCGCACCATTCCTTTACAATGCGATCTCAATCATCTCCACACCCTTCTATCGAAGGTACCCACACTTTCTTTGTCCACTCCTACCGATTTTAAGGCCCCCATAGTTCCGATTACCACATCTACGTAAATCCAATGAACTTCCAATCCAATGGAAACAACATCTTCATAGGAGGTTGAGATGTTTTGATACTTGCAGAACTCAACTTCTCACAAAGCAGAACAACAACGAAGAAATTCATAAAAGGAAAAGCAAATCCTAAACAAACAATGGCAAGCGACTGTTCGAAGCTGTGCCTCATGCAAACCAACTAGACCCCTACCTCACGCAAACCAGCAAAGCCTCTACCTTGCACGAGCCAAAGAAGCCTCTTCCTTGCACAAAAAGCAATGAAGAAATAGGAAAATGACTTTTTGAAAAAAAAAGAGGAAAGTATTATATTATTAATTCTTAAAATTTTAATTAGATAATACTTTAATTAGTTTAATTAATATGATAAATAATAGTATAATTATCATTAAATTAATTTAATTCATATTTATAAGTGATGTTATTATATTTATTAGTATTATAATTGGTATTTAATTAGTTTAATACTTAAATATTTCATTAATTCGGTTTAATTAAGCTAGTTTCTAATTTGATAATTCACATAAATAATTAATAATAATTAAGCTAATTTTATTTATATTAAATAACCCTAAATTTATTAAATGTAAATAAAATTTAAGTTGATAAGTAAATCATTATAAACTAGCAAATTAAATTCAAAATATATTAAATTTAATTTTTAAATGAACCAACTGCTTTAAATCGTAGATTACAATGCTTAAATAATTTTTGATATTTAACTTCCCGTTTATATACGGGTCGGGTCGGGTTCGACCCGAACCCGACGGGTTGACCCGGATTGACACCCCTAGGCGTGTTCGGGCTGTGGGAAGAGCTCCGGCGGTAGTCGAGGAGGAGCTTCTTCCTTCTTCTCTTCTTCTTCTCTCTCTTCACTTGACCCCCCTTGGTGTAGAATGAGGGCTATATTTATAATTTTTCTGGAGTGGCATAGCCCGTAAATAGGCGTGAGATCAGGGGCGAATTGGGAGTGTTTTGAATGGATGGTCGATATCGAATCCTTTGATCATGCACCGTTCGTTGGGCATTTGAAGGTCTTAATGATGTTGGAATTCGGCAGTCTTAGGCTCGTTGGATTCGTCTCGTCGAGCCGTTCGATTCGAGTATAAGCTCGTCAAAATCGGAGACCATTTGGTAACTCAAATTGTGGTTTGAAGCTTCCAACAGCACTTCGGGTCCTTGATCCGGACTCATTTGGGCTCGGATTGGGTCGAATTTGGTGTCGTTGGGTTCGTATTTCCGACACGCTCAGTTTGACAGTAAGCTCGCCGAAATCGGAGTTTTGGGTGCTCAGAAAATTAATTTTCGAAGTTTCCAACTAGCTTTTGCCTCGAGATTCGTTCCCGATCGAGATAATTTTGTGATGCCGTATCAATGATAAATAATAGTATAATTATACAACAACAACAACAACAACAACAACATCAAGCCTTTATCCCACTACGTGGGGTCGGCTACATGAATCCTTTTTCTACATTGTTTCCAATTAAAGTCAAATTCTCATTTAAATCTAATAAAGAAAGGTCATTCCTAATATTTTTCTAACCAAGTCTTTTTAGGTCTACCCCTACCTTTCTTAACATAAGTCAAATCTAATACCTCTACTCTCCTAACCGGGTCATCGCAAGGCCGCCGTCTTATGCGACCAAACCATCTAAGGCGACTTTCTCAAATCTTATCTTCTACTGAAGGTACTCCAACCTTTTCACGTATATGCTCATTTTGTATCCTATCTGTAAGGGTAAAGCCACTCATCCTCCTGAGCATCCTCATCTCTGCCACACTTAACTTAAATAATAGTATAATTATCATTAAATTAATTTAATTCATATTTATAAGTGAAGTTATTATATTTATTAGTATTATAATTGTTATTTAATTAGTTTAATACTTAAATATTTCATTAATTCGGTTTAATTAAGCTAGTTTCTAATTTGATAATTCACATAAATAATTAATAATAATTAAGCTAATTTTATTTATATTAAATAACCCTAAATTTATTAAATGTAAATAAAATTTAAGTTGATAAGTAAATCATTATAAACTAGCAAATTAAATTCAAAATATATTAAATTTAATTTTTAAATGAACCAACTGCTTTAAATCGTAGATTACAATGCTTAAATAATTTTTGATATTTAACTTTCTACAAATTTACTAAATCCGAATATACAAAATTTAGTAAATATTATTCAAGTTAAAACCTACTTGTTCCAAACAGCCCCTGAAAACTCCGTGGCCCCGTTCAAACACCATTATCCCAGCGAGACAGGCCGCCGGCGGCCAGAGCAGGAATGGCAAACGCTCTCTGATGTTTTTCACGAAGATTTCTTCGCTTCCTTTTTACTGTTTATGAACGTGTCTCCTCTCTCTGTAGTTTGCTCAAGAGAGATCGTGCCATTTTTGTCTGTGGTAAACGGGACCTAGCGTTTAGTTGCTCCTTTTCAGAAATTAACGAGACCTAGGTTCGAAAACCACTGTATAAGATCTAACTATTGTTGCTTCTTCCACCTCTCGAGCACCAAACTGGCCGGCTATAGGTATTAAGTTCACTCCTTCATCTATATTACTTGTTTCTATAACATTAGACGCTCTAACGCCAAATTTGTTCAACGCTATCAAGATTACTGTTGATCAGGGGTGAGTGACATGGACGAAATCGCTTCCCGGGAAGAGAAGGTGCGTAAGTTCGAGGAATTCGTGGATCGCCGCCTCAAGCCGGACCTTGTAAAAGCTGTCGCTCAGCGGTAGGTGTTCTCCTCCTTATGTGCATCAGTTACCCATCTTCACTATTTATGACTTCAACATTTTTTCCTTCTTTTTTTTTTTGCTGTGGCAGGGATAAGGTTTTCCAGCAGCAGAAAGTCTTGTATCCTTCTGCAATTCTTCTTCGGGTTTCTTTGTCGCCTCTTTATCTTCCATTTTACCTTGAGCGTCCTTTCTGTTTTGTTACTTGACTTCCCGCCACTAGCCAAGATCTCAGGAGGAACATACAGTACCTTGAGAAGAACGGCGTGACTTCCCTCCGTACCATGGTTAATCTTGGGTCTGAAGTTTTCATGCAAGCTGATGTGTAAGCACCAGTTCTGATTTATTGCTCTTCCACATTTTATCTCCTTAGGTTTACAATCATTGCTATAGCTTTTTGGTGCCTATTTATGGCTTTCTAATTTTGTGTAATATCTGTGAGAAGAATATCAGTTGTATGAAAGATGAAGAATAGCTTCTAAGAACCAAAACTTTGGCTAGCTTCCTAGAAAAAAATTTATAATAGTTTTTTCTTTTTGAGCTTATCAATTAATTAATTAATCTAACTATATTCTAAATACATTTCAAATATTTTGTTATAATTATTTAAAAATTATGCTATATATATTTTGATCATTCAATCAACACAGTTTTGTGTCACAATATTTTTGTTCAAACAACTACATTCCTTGCGTTACTTTACACAACATGATTTTATTAGAAGAGCCAGGAGTCTCTTTCTCATTCTATCCTATTTATTCTTTATGTAATTTCCTTCTCTTTCTTTTAGAAAGCAACTATCAATGCTTCATTTATCTTGGAAAAATGTTCATTATGTTATTTACACCAGTGAGTTAATGCTTCATTTTGTGATATTTTTATTTTGTGTTTGTTTTCATACAACGTGCTTGCCACAATTTTTATTTATTGCCATAAAAAAACCTACACTGTACATTCACTTCTTAATGATCATGAGAAGCACACTTGAAGGAGCCTCTGCTCTTGATGAGATTAATAATGATTATTCGATTGCAACAGAACACATTTTAACAGAATGAAAGTATCAAATGTAACCCACAATCACATGTTTAACCTTCATTGTAGCTATTCAATCCTATTTATCAAGTTTATTCAATTTAAGTTAGTAATTGTATATGGCATCCTTTTCTGTAGAGAAACTAACTTTATGTAAACTACTACTACATGCATGGTATGTTTTAGCATCATTTGGTGGCTCTATCTAGCTTTAGCATAAACCTTTGCATAGTTATTAGGTTACCTGGTGTGGCATGTAGGTCACCGGCACAAACATAGATTTTGCCACTCTACTTTGCAGGGGCAGGATTGCGTGCGTTAACATTTTCCAAGTCCCCATAATGATGGGAGTCTAGATAACTTTTCACACCCTTTCTTTAGTAGTTCTAGCTTAAATATTATCTGAGTTGTGGGTCATTTACTAGATATGCACATGCTATTTATTCAGTTTTTCCTTAAATATGTGTTCCATAGGGAGATAGTAAGTAAGTTTTTTTAATCTTAATAAGCCCTGATAATCAGATTGATTTATGCTTTTTTTTTTCTTTTTGAGGGAACACATAATATTGCAACATGTAAGTTTCCCCTTATCAGATTCAAAACCATTGCAACATATCAACAGTTGCAATCTTCGTAGCGATTTGATTGTTTGTTCGATGTAATATGTTAAAGAGAACGTGCTACATCTACATTCTTTCCTTTACTTGCTATTTCTTGTCTTATATTCTTTTCTCAGTTTTACTTTTTTTTCCTAAATTAATTATTATATATTTATGCAGGCCTGATACACGACATATTTTTGTTGACATTGGAATGGGGTTTCATGTGGAATTTACTTGGTCTGAAGCCTTGGAATTCATTTCAGTGAGAGAATCAAGATTAGCCAAGTATTTATGCAAATTATGACTACATTACTTAATTTTTTATTCAATTTTTTTCCCAATCATTTAAATCTGTTTTTGAAGCATGAACCAAGTGAGAATGTTTGTGGTTAGGGATAATGTGCATCCATATTTATATTCAAATCAAATAAAGTATTTTTCCCTGGGATGGTAAATACTAAATAATCCCATCCATGTGGGATTTCTGTATATATCTGCAATTCAAAATCAGGAAAATTTTGTCTATTTAAATACGATTTATATTTGTTTTCATAGGTCACAAATGTCGTTTTATTTGAACTAGGACCTTTATTCTAAATAGACAATCTGGCTAGAAAAATTAGTTGATCGGGCTATCTTATCTCTCCTTTGGTTGTGGATGTACTTTATTTGGATACCAAATGGTCTTCAATTATAATATAGATTATACCAATGATTAATATTGAGTCCATATCTTTTTATAGTATCGATGGGGGTGCTTATAAAAGATATTCAAACTGAGGTATCTTGTTGTATACATTTTTTAGATGACATAATTATAATTTGTGAGACATCTACTAAAATTGGTGGGAAGTTAGCATAAGAAAGAAATTATTTAGAAGATGGAGACCTTAGAGTTTGTAGAAAAAATTGAGTATATTCTTTGCAATGTTTGTTAATGTGATATTAATAAGCATCAATTTATATTATTGAAACATAAAGTGATATTAAGGTGCAATAGATTTATCTTAGATCTATTATATAAAAGAGAATGTAACTTTTGGAGATTAGATTTGTTGGTTGAAATGAGGAAGTGTTAGAAATATTATATAATAAGAGAATATCATGGAGCTTAAATTTTAGATTTTATAAAATTGCAATTAATAAGTGACACATGAATTTGAGTTTCAACATTAATAAATTATTGATAACTAAATTGAGTGTGGAGGACATGAGAATGCTAAGATATGCATGGAAAAATTAGGAGGGTAAATTACGTTCCTCATATTTGAGGAACAAACTTAAGTGATATGTTATCGTGTTTGTATCATTTAGAGTGGCACATAGCTCTTGTTTTCATTGCATTTCATCCAAGTGGCATTTCATCGAAAATTTCAACAAACCTTGCTTGTCACCTTTATGAAGCGGGAAGCAATCGCAACTATGCCAAAAAAGTTCGTATGGTGGCGTATGACTGCCTATGCTATGTGTTGACCTTCTAAAGATAGCCAGGAAAGGCAAGCTTAAGTGATGCTTGACGCACCTTCATGAAATCTCTTTGCTCACTCTAAGAAAGGTGAGCTTAGGTAGCACCACCAACCTCATCTTTATGGGAAGACATGATGCATGCTCTTATGAGTTGTTGCAACGTCAAGATGGCAACAAACGAGACAGAAAGTGGAAAACTGAATAGGAGTTTGAAGTTCACTGTTTTGAGTAGTCCGAGAACAAAATTGTCAGCACTTTGTTGTCCAATTGGGATTTTTTGTTTTGTTTATTTTGGAATGGAGTACAATTCTTTGTATTTGGGGAAGCATCCCACTCAATGTGGGACTAATCCACATGAGGAGGCAACGGGTAAATTGGTTTATTAGCTATTTTGATTGATGTGGAGGTGTGAGTCCTGCTATTGTCATACTTCAAATAAGAAAAAGTTTACCGAGCCTGCCCAATATTGTTTTAGAGGGGGGGGTAATATGATGTGGGTTTGCCCACATATTGCATGTTGACTTGCATTCCATTGCAGTCTTTTAAAAAGAAAAGATCTTGGTAGTTTATCATGGGGGTCTATTTTTGGGCTGTCTGACAAGGAGGGGCTTTTGGCATGTGTAGGAACTTGGTGGCCCAGAATCACTCCCAAGATCATTGATAAGGACCCTCTTTCAGGGCTTTGAACCGGGTTGATCTACCCTAAACCATGACTTGCTCTGCTGCCAAAATTTGGAACTCAAATAGATATCAATAATGGACTTTTCAGCATGCTTATATATGTATTCTAACGCAAGTGTTCAACACAGGCTAACCTTAACTTTGCATTAGCTGCTCGCTAGAAGGTTCTTTTTTTTATAGTTCTCTGGCATTCAGAAAATCTTACTTATATCTTTGTTTTTTTGTTGTAGCTCATTGCCGCTCTATTTTTAACAGGCAAATAGAAGAGTATACCCACCTAATTGCTACAGTGAAAGCCCAAATCAAATTGGTATGTTTGCTCTTGACTTGGTAGTTTTCATTAATATATTGCTACCTTGCCAAGTCGGTTCCATTTCAATTTTATGTTTTGTTGTTATTTTCAGTCAGTACATCTCTTGCTGTTAATGTTGAATCCTATAACATTAAGATATCGTTAGGAGGCAACAGATCTTGTTCTGAATGTCTGCTGATAAACTCACTTCATTATGAACTTTTAGTACCCATAATGCATGTCATGGCCGAATCTTTTTCTTTTTATTCATGACATTCTAATATGCTGGAAACATCCTTCTATAAGATAAAGACATTTTTTTTCATAAATTTTTATTTTAATGTATTTTTCAACATGCAGCATTTTATATTAAAATCAAAACTTATTATATTAAATTTATACCATAAAATAAAGTATCAGTAATACTTTTTAATATTGGAGATGATTTAGCTATGCATCAAACATGGGAAGCTAACATCTTAATGAATGGTCTAGATGGATGAATGATTTAGCAATTTTATAATCTAGGAGCTATGATGCGATAGTATTCAAATTAAATAAAAATATTTTAATCATTCATAATGTGATATTTAGGCCATTTTTAATTGCATTTCTTTTAAAGATATATTATAGTGTGTTAAAAAATTATGGTGGTAAATATTAAAATTTACATGGTGTATATGGTCTCGCATATACACAAATAAAGAGAGAAGTGGCAGATACAGATGGTACAAAAACCTTTTGGTGTTTTGAGACTCGATATGCACTATTTTGACTTTTTAATAGTTTAACGCCTGTTATGTCTTATGTTCTGTGCTATTTTTTACATATTGGTGTTGATTATTGGGTTAGTTTTGAATCCTTTTGAGATTATCTTTCCATTCACTTAAATGCCATGTGACCTGTGAACTCTTTTCTTTTCTGATATGGATTTTATGTTTAGATGTCCATACCATATATGAGATGACTACTATTGGCTAGATCAAATATGAGTGGCTTCCTTGCACTCTTACACATCTATAAACTTCCATCTTAATAAGAGCTCAATTATGCACAAACTGATGAATGATGTGATTGCTGAATGTAATTAGCATTAGATAATTTTTATATCAAAGGCTACACAAAGAATTAGATAATTAGCTCCAGTTACATATAAGATTAGAGAGTGTCGCCTTAGATAGTTTGGTCATGTAAAACGGTAGCCTTTAGATGACCCTGTTAGGAGAGTAGATGTATTAGATTTTGGCCTATTAAGAAAGGTAGAGGTAGACTTAAAAAAACTTGGTTAGAAAATATTAGAAACGACTTTTCTTTATTAGATTTAAATGAGAATTTGAGATTTAACAAAAACACAATGGAGAAAAAGGATTCATGTCGCCGACCCACATAGTGGGATAAAGACTTGATGTTGTTGTTGTTGCTATTGAAAGAAGTTTACGAGTCTCCTTTTTGAAATCCATTTGGATTTGCTTACTTTTTTATATTGAATTATAAAATCCACGAGTGGTCTACGAGGCTCTTATGATTGATAAAAATTTAGTAGCTTGGTTAATTTTTAAATCAAAGGGTACTCTAATAACCTTATGGTTCTCCTAGCTACAATCTTCTATTTAAAATATATCTGGATGCACTTACTCTTTTTAATATTGCATTTGTAATTTCTGAGTGGTTTAAGAAGCTATTGCGAATTTTGGGTTTAGAAAAAAAAGTCTTGAGGTTTTCAGTACAATTATTAAAAGAGAAGGGACTAAATTGCAAATTTATATTTTTAAATTCAAAATGAGAGGGTGATGGCTAAGTAGGGAGGAGATAAATACAAGTGGAGAGAATACAAAAAACTGCTCAATGTCCATTTCACCAATTTATCCTTTTGATTCTTAGTGGTCGAACAACTTAGAACATAGGAGAGATTCAAAGGAATGTTCGCTTAATTTAATTTATGATTTCTTCATTTTCATATTAAAGGCATTGAGATAATGAGGAAATTTAGGGGTTGTTCATATGATTCTAGTATCCTTATTTTCAATTAAATTATGATAATCATTGAGATATAAAGAGTGTCTTATCCAACACCTCATAAATATCTAGGGTTTTACTTATCAAAAGACAATAAATATAATTTTATGTGACCTTAGAGAAAAATGATTGAACTTGAAGCAAAGTAGAATTTTTCCTCCTCTAAAATCACGTATAGTCCTCGCCACTCTCTCCAATTTTTAGCCAAGGCTCCACCCCAGTCCTTTTTCTCTCTTTCTTTAATGGCATGTCCAAACTCTTAGGCATGAATTCCAAGGTGGTTTCCCCGTCTTTCCACTATTTGCTAGATTAGTAAATCAATCCAATCTTTCTTAATTCGTCCATAATAAATCTATTTTATTGACTTAGTTATTTTCATATTGGACTTTAAAACAATAAGTTTTCCGCACTGCAATTCTTGATATTTTTTAGCATAGAGCTGCAATTCTAACATGTAGGAAATTTTTCTTGGCTAGATTATGAAGTTTGGAAGGATTTTATTTGTAGGGCTGCAAGCGAACCTAACGTTCGACGAGCTACTCATTGTTCGATTCGATTAAAGCTCGTTTGTGATCGTTTAATAAACTAAACAAACAAACTTGAACAATATTTTAGATACTCGATTCTTAAATAAACAAACTTGAACACTAATGCGTTCGACTCATTTATGTTCGCGAACAACATCATTTGAAGTTCGTGAACAAGCTCGAAATTAAGCTCGATAAGAAGTTTGATTCGTGTTCGATTTTAAACTCGTGAATAAGCTCGATAAAAATAATTAATATTTGATTATATAATTATTAAATATAAATAATATAAATGTATTTGTTCAAGTTTGTTTGTTTAACGAACTAGGTTTTCTTTCTTTCCTATTTTCTCGTCGAGGCACTCTAACGAATTTTCTCATTTCTCCGCTCATCCTTCTCCCCGACAACGCCCCGACAATGCTGAAGCTCGTGTTGACGATAAGTTTTGGCTTCAAATATTACTTCCATTAGTTCTTTTGGCTTCTTTCTTGTAATGTTGCATAATAACCTTTAGGGGAGGGAATTTATCAGAGGAAGGTTGAGTCTCCACTGAGCAAAGAGTCTTAAATTTACTATTTTTGATAATAACTTTAGAAGAGATAGGAGAAGGTTGCATTGGGGAAGAATGAGAAAGAGCAAGAGCATCCACCATAGACAATTCCTTTTATTATAAATATATTTGTTCATAGATATGTTCATGAAAGTATTTGTTTGATAGTTAAAAAAAAAAATTTAGATATGTTCGCGGACATGCTTGATGTAATCGTTTGTTAGGAAGCTCGATAAAGCTCGTTTGCTAAGTTCATGAACATCTAAAAGTAGAGCTCGTTTATAGCTCGTTCATGTTTGTTTGTTTAAAGCTCGATAAGCACTAAACGAATGAACATGACCTGAACTTGAACCGAACATGAACACTCATTAATTTAAATGAACCAAACATGAACATAAACAATAAAACTTGAACAAACGTGAACCAAACTTGAACAACCTGATATTAAATGAACACAAACATACTTGGCTCGGCTCGGTTCATTTGCAGCCCTATTTATTTGTAATTCTATGTAACTTGTGATCTGTGACTATACAGAGAGATTTGAAATAATTGAAGAGTCTCTCACAGCATGAAGGAATAAATGGCCAAGTAGATGGATGATAAAATGGCCTTGAAGCTCTTGCTACTAAGGCACATCTACATTGCCACCATTATTTGCTTCATCGCTGATTGTCGAGACATCCTCTAGGAAACAGCAACTTGCAGAGTAGAATACATCAAGAGAGAACTTGAGACCCTATGATGGAGATAAGATGAAGACCTTCCTTTTAATATGGAGTCAAAGATTGAGTTGCCTTTTGTTTACCTGAAAATTGGATTAATTATGTTTATCTAAAATATTGATTAACTTGATCAAAATCTTAAAGATTCAAATCAGATTACATTTAAGTCCTCAATTTTAAAGTCGGGACTCAATTAACCTTTGCTTAAAGCCCAAAGTCTAATTTGAAGTTAGGACATCATTTGCTTTATCAATTCCTTTTATTAAGCTGTGTTAGGCTTGATTAATATATATCAGAGAACCTAGGTCCTAATTGTTGATCAATATGATTAAAGTATCAGTATTTGTCTTGCATTTGAATGAGAATTTTTTACATGATTTAAATGGTTTAAGATGAGACAGAATGAGTTTTATGGCATTACTGGGTTGGATGGGATCCGTAACCCATTACTCCAGTACTCTCTTCACTCTTATCCTGCTAATATTATGATACAAAGTGCTTGAAAAAATTTAGAAAGAGTCTTGGCTGAAATCTTATTTCAGCAATTTTAGAAAACCAACAACAAGAAAATCATGAATAGAACACACAAAAACTCTTTTTTTATTGAAAGTTTTATGAAAGAAAATACAAGATATAAGTGGATCTTCAATTGGAGATGAAGATCTGACTCTCTCAAATCTCTAGCTGTTAGCTAGAGCCCAAACACTCTAATAAGAACAATCTAATTCAGCAAACAACACATAACCTTAACCCTATGAAAATCCCTCTACTTAAAGCATACAATAATTGACAAATACTCAAACAACCCTCCTTTAATTCCCTCCCAAATCTGTCTTCTTTAGATAAAAAACATTTTTTAATTACTCACCTACAAATCAGCCCCCAAGAGCAGGTACAGAAAAGGACTGGCAACAATTAAATATTTACTAATCCTCTAATACTTCGAGTCTGATTGAAATAACTCTCTTCTTAAATATTCTTATTAATTTTCTGGCTTTTGGATGCGAGTACCTAGGACATATCTTAAAAAGTGCAAATATAACTTAATATTGTATATAAACTATAATAGATTTTTTAAGGATTAACATATAATTAGAATTAGGAGCTTTCATAGTAATGTAATTGTAATTCACTTTTTGTTGTTGTATGTTTTGACACCTGAACTGAACTCCTTGTGCTAGTACCACATCAAGGGAGAAAAAAGGATTCTTGTAGGCAACCCCCACGTATTGGGATAAATACATTGTTGCTGCTGCTGCTGCTTCTGCTTACTGCTTTATGCTTCGTTTGGATGGCTTTTTACTGTTTTTTAAAGCAGCTTTTTTACTGCTTCTAAAAAGCCGCTTTAAGAAGCAGTAAAAAAGTCGTCCCAAACGAAACCTTAGTGTGAATGGGAGCTGGCCTCTGCATACTAACTAGTACCTGATCAAAAATAACACCGAACAAGTAAGAATAGATGAAATAAACAGACATTAAGAAGGGCAATCATCTATAAATCCTCAGATTTAACCAATAAGGAAAGAAAGATGCATCAACTTTAATCGAGTTAGATTAAAATGACCGTTATTGTAGGGGTTTTAATGGGCTATTTGATATGATTAGTGGTCCTAGCTATGAAACTTAATAGTCATAATGGCATTAACAATCCTTCGTTTTCAGGTTTGTGAAGGCATACGCGAGCTGCTTCAGATACCAGCAGAGTGACAGAAAGCCGTGTTACGCTGTGCTGTTTGCTAATTCTGACACTGCAGGTGCTGCTTCATTTCCTCATTAATGCAACAACACCTAAATACGGTTCTCACTTCTGGAGATCTTTACTGTGTCTTTTTTTTTTTTTTTTTTTTCTTTTTTTTTTTTTTTTTGTCACGAGTAATCATTGTCCTTAGGTCAGTGAAAATTCCGGTCGATCTAATGGGCAACCCAACACAACTCCCCTTGGCCTATTGGTTGAGAGCTTAGGCTTCCAACTAAGAGGTCCAAGGTTCGAGTCCATGTGTATGCGTTGTGTGTGTGAGTTTGCCTTAGATGGCCTAAATGTCCCCAAAAAAAAAATTATATTATTAATTGCTAGGATAGGTATTAATTAAAAAATAATGACAACAAATTAATTAATTAACCCTAGTTGAACATAAAAATAAATGCAATTAAATGCAACAATTGGCTCTCATTTAAATACACTTAATCTAAATAAATGAAAAAAATGTCATGCGTTTAAATGAATGAAATGAAAGGCCGGGATAATTTTTAAATAAATAAAATTATTTTAGTATGCGGTATATGTAAGGGGCATTAAATTGCTTAATTAATTTTTTTTTTAATTTTTTTTTTTTGGATGAACCGGGGCAAAGCCCATTTTATTAGGATAAAAAAGGAATAAAAAGACTTACAATAATACCAAGACTGACTAAGACAAACAAAGTTAAAGAGAACCACTCAATCAAATCTAA